GCGAAAAACTGTTTTTTCGTTTTTCGCAAATAACTCGTAAACTATTGATGCTAGCGAAGAATTTTTATATGGAAATTGTAGATCTCGTCGTCCTCTACAAGAAAGGTCCTATACAATTTTTCCGTATCTCCAACGGTTTACGAGTTATTGTGGAAAAACGAAATTTTTTGTCAAAAGTTCGCCGTTTCGACGCTGGTACAGCCGGATTTCGTCAGTATCAATAAAATGCCAATTAACTGCACTTAACTCGTTAAATACATCCTTAAATGATCTGTACTGTAAAATTTTACGTTATCGACGCAGGATGATCATTTTATGTCCCTACGTTGGTTATATAGAGGCGTGTTCATAATAGAGGTTCCTCTTTTATCGCGTCACTTCCCACATTACCGATTCAATAAGAAAATATAAACGCACCGAGGATTTATATAATAGTTTAATAAAAATTTAATTTATTTAAACACGGAGGATATTAACAATATTAACATACAGAGGAAATATTAGCATCTCCTCGGTGATATTAATAATATCTCCTCGGTGCAGTTACGCTGCATTTCCTACTGCAGTTAGGATTAATTTCCATCATTTCTTGATAACGTTGTGAGCTACATGATTCTTCGGCACACAGTGTTCTGAGTTTTATCCAATAGATGGTAGCGAGCGTAATTTTTTAATATGAAACGACCCAATGAGCGATAGTCGCCATTAAACATTACCTTCGGTAGCACCTTGTTGCATCGACGATTCTTTCCCCTCCTAATTCAAAGGTAAATCATTTTAATTATCATTATTTTTCATTTTGACGTGATCGAACAATATTCATTGTGAAGATAATTACAATAATCGACCGATATTCACCTCGTTTCTTCATGCGTGCAAAATAGCAACAAGTAAAATGCGTAAAACAATACTCGATACTGCGCACGCTATTTTAATAAGTATTTTCGCGCAGAACAAACGCATATGTACTTACATTGTATAAAGAGCGTACTCGGTATAGAATCGCTTCAAGGACCACAGTTTGGTTTAGCGATACCATTTGCTGCGATATCGATTACTTTATAAAAAGATTGAAGAACCGCCGCGACGTAAAGAAACAGTTGCTCCAAATGGATAATACATCAGAAAATTTCACCGTGCGAGCGTTCAATCGATCCTTTCTCTGCGCGAATTGAACGCTAGTATACTGTCCATGTGACAAATTAAATATTTATACATTAATTGATGATACAGACCTTGTAATGAAAAAGGAGGCTGCTTTTGTACAATAGGTTCGAAGCGGATTGAAACTACGGCATTTGACGTATATTAGAAAGACAGAACAGCGTCCGACGGTAACGCGATTCTTTATACTGCTGATTAATTTATCATTCGTATCTATTTGCATCCGAATCGATAGTCGATGTCACGCGCGTGGAATCCGATATGCACCGAGCTTCACTACCGCGAAAATTCGGGTACAAAAGCGATTTTCTCCTCGAGATTATATTGTTTTCTTAGGATTTTTGACGATTTATTAATCCTCTCTTTATTATCTTAAACTAACTCAAAAAGATATCCGAAACACTTTCAGTTTATATTTAACATTTTATTTTATGATAAAGCAATATGCCTAAAATATTTTTGTGTAAGATTCTTCTTCGTACTTTAGTTGTTCTGAGACCAGGTATCGTTGTCCACTCATTTATCATTCTTGTCTTGTACACGACCCGACGAAAAATCATTTCGCTCTTTGACCTCCACTTTCTTTCTTCCCTTCGCCAGCTTTCGAGGCACATCTCGTGCAGGATTTCGAGCAACCGGCGATTCTTTCCAGTGTCATTTTTAGAACACGAAACTTGTCTATGAAAGAGATTAACTAAAATGAATTCGTCACGGTGGGAAACTGTAATTGTCATATTGCAAAAGATCTCCAGTGGACGATTTTCGCTAACTGTAGTTTGTCCGTCGTAAATGTTCGATAAATCACTTGTTGGTCGACTAAGCTAACGGAATTCATGGTTCTCTGAGGAATAGAGGAAACGGAAGCCTTTCCGCCCCTGCAGACCCTTCTTGTCTTTTATATCGACGGTCATACGATACTTGTCCGCCTCTTAATTCTCGGATTAACGCCGTCGGCTTTATAACTTGGAAAAACGTTTCCATGGTAGATAAAACGTGACGATTCGTTTTTCACAACTGATTGTTAATAACGCTGGCTTCAATATCTTGGTTTTAAAACATTTAGCAGTGTCGCACCTGGGAGTTTTGTAAACTCGATACGAAATGATACCACGTGTTATGAGGAATTAAGCCAGGTATATCTAAGTGCGGTATCGAGCCAGTTAAAGGTAGCTCTTGTCTTATCGTGACCGGTTATAAAAGTACAGATAAATGGTACGCGAAGCGCACACGACCGACTTCGTGATCCCGGTCGGTTCGGTCAAGCAGGGTCACCGCTTCCGTGGCTTTCCCGCATCAATGTGCATATATATAAATCCTTGCATACGTACATATTCTCCATGGAACCCTTTCATAGAATACCGACGTACTTTGTTAACAACGATTTGTTTAAAAAAATATTCCTGCTGAAACGTGTTTACTCTTACCCATAATCTGCTTGCGGCTGAGGTTCTCTGGAATTAACGCGTGAATATCAACGCCGCGAGGAAACCGATAAGAGTCCGTTTCCGTCCGAACGGCCTGACAGTAAATTGGCTTGGAAATTCGAATTCAGTTTCGCCCGTAATAAAATTATATCCCGCTTCAGTAACGCGATTAACTTCGTATCGATCGTCTGACCGCCTCTTTGACACAAAAAATCAGTCTTCTCTGAATTACGTTGTACGTTCTAATTTCAACCATCGATTCCAATGACGCAAGAAGAGATAGAACAAGATTTTCTCGATGGACGGTTCAACGTTACGCAGAGCTGGTTCACCAGCCTCGTCCCCGTGTCAATATATGTATGTTGAGGACACAGGGAAACCAATTGTTATCAATTGCGTTCGCCATTGAATCATCGCCAGTCACCCTGTCGAGGGCCTATTAAATCCTGCGCATCGACTGGACTGTGCAATCAGATATGTATTCTTCGTACAATCGAAAGCAAACTATTCTTCGTTCGCTCGAATTTAGTTTTATTCAGATACATAAATCAGAATAAGCATTGCCCGTGCCCGATTTATATTTTTTAAGTTCTGACCCACTCGATAAAAGTTCGATGGTATCACTAATTTTTTAATTGAGAGCCATTCGCTCTAAATATATTGAATTAATGCACGGATTTTAGCTGCAAAGGGTCGAAGAGAAATCAAGTTTCACGTTGCGGCTGATAGGATAGCTTCTCGTCCGGCAGATCGATCGGCCCATTCCTAATCGAATCTTCCGTGCTCGAAGAGAGGACGTCGCGAGCCGCACAGAGACGTCGCGACATCGTCGCTCGGCTCAATCGGATTTCGTGTCTCGTCTCATTCTCCGTCCGACGTTAATCTCGACACGAGCGAAATTTTCTATTTACGTGTGCCACGCTGCATGTCACGTATATTCTCATTTCTTTTTTCCTCGATGCGATAGTACCGTGCAGCTCGTCTCTCCTCCACGGTGCCGTCTCACCATATTTTTCAGAGCGCGGCTTATACCGGGATCAGAGTATTTTTCCGTGCAAACGGTGACGCGCCTCGGTATCGTAAAGATCCGCCGAGGTCGACGAGAGGCTAATCGAAATTAAATCGCATTCGCTCGAAACGATTACCACTGATCTTCTCTCGAGTCATTTCATCCATTTCCTTTCTTTTTCTGTTTGCTTTACACGTTCGTCTCGCTGATACCTCGATAACGGTTTTCAACCGTGATTGGCAATTTTCCTTTGGTCCGGGTATTCTCAACGAAACCAGAGTCTAGTATTCGACCGAACAATGCTTCTTCGCTTGCCATGGAATGAGTTACTATACGACTGGCTATTTCGTCACTTCGAAAAGTTCCCGTAAAGCGATCCTTACGGGCTGGAAGTAATAAAAATAAGGAAGAAGGGGATTGACAAAAAAGAGCATGGAAAGATCCGATAGGGTTGCGAACCAAGGGTATAATAAATTCTATAGTATGGTAGGCGAGAAAGGGTTTTTACCTGGAATGGGGGATTAGCCAACGTATCGAAGATCAGCCATAGAATGGCTCGGTTTGTCAAACATCTGCATAAGTTGATCCATACGTTCCTGTTGTACGTACTCGCTCGTCGTTAAATCGACGTCGACGGAGTTTCGGTGTTCGCCGGTGATTTTTCATCGTCTCGTCCTCGCACCCGCAATTCTTTTCTCGGTGAACGGTCCAGGGCCGCTCGAGAAGCTTCGAGCAAAACGACTTTCAGAACCCGCGGTACTTTCACATTTGCAAGACCGAGGCATTGAATCGCGTTGGAAACTCGTTTCGCCAGGCGATGCGAAACGCTAAGAGGGACACTCGCCTTCAACGGGGAATGATTTTTCGCAACGGTGCGCCGACGGTGCCGCGAGGCTTCTCACGAAAATGTTACCCTACAAACCACGTCTCGAACAGTACGTCGTATTAATCGGTTTCACGGATCATCCGGCGCGCGTTCTCCGATTCTAAATCGTCCACCAGAGTCCGGACATTTGGACCGGTGGATCGAATAGTCATTGGTCTCTCTTTTTACGGAACTCGCGAGCTTCCCGGAGTATTTTCGTGCACGGTCGTACGTTCCTGGCTGAACTTTAGAGACGTTCAGTACCCGCGGCGTACTCTGATATTTAGAGAGCGATCTGTATTCACGTTCCCGCGCAGGACGGCAAGTGCAGTGACCTAGTGACACGTGGAAAATTGTCGCCGGCGTATGTGAGTGCTCCGTGCGCTTCGGATTGAAGCCCACGAGGTGACTCTCTCTAGCTGCATCAACGATAACAGTCGTTTCAGTGGCACCAAGCTTTTTGGCAAGCTGAAAAAACGTGGCCCGCGGCAACCTCGAAACGCCTCGACCACTACGCAAATAACGACTATTTTCATTTTCCATACACTTGCCTCGCGCTCCGATTCGTGGTCTCGACTTTCCAGCTTTCTGTCCGCTTTCGCGAGTTCCGCTTGAATCGATGTTCGACTCTCTGGTTACTTCGGATCCTTAGAAGAATTCTTTATAAATTACTTGCCGACCGAATGTTTGCCGGATGCGAGTTCGCAAAATAAACTAAGCATTTCTATTAATATTATCGTGAAACTCGAGATTGAATTTTCTCGCGTTGCATGAAACGTTCTCGGTTTTCTTTTCAAGAGGATACCCGGAGAACGGTGTAATAATTTTTCTGTTGGCGAACGACGTTGGCGTGTATGACACGAGATCCGGCCGAGAAAGGAGAATAACGGGCCGAACGCTGTTTATTGCGTTTTCGGGTCAGAAGGGGGACGCGCGAATTTTCGTCCGAAAAACGGATGCCCGCAGGCTCCGCAACCCCTCTTTCTCCTTTGTCCCTTCCCGAAGCCACTTCCCGTGAAACCGTTGGGGCATTTTTAAAGTAGGGTGCGGAATGGCCCAGAGTGGGGTACGGCACGACGATGACGACGTGGCGAAGTGGGTTCGATTGTGGGCTCTATTCCACCGTTCTCTGAGCCCGGGTCGAGAACCAAATTTTTTTTCGATACTACCTGGACTATGTCCTACCTCGTAAAATCATCGTCCAATAGGATTCCTTGTTGAAATAATACGTATAACATTTAAGTAACAAGTACAATGGTACTTTGGTTAAAGCTGTTCTGGTTATACAATATCCGCAAGAAGTTATACATGCACATTCTAAATATAGTGTATTTTCTGATTTTCCTAAATAGCTACTCACGGGAAAAAGATAAAATAGTCATTAAAGTCGTTTTACTACCATTTCCTCCTCATCTTAAGATTATATGAATCCTGAGATCTCTGCCAGAAATGTAAGAAATGTAATATGAATCCAACATCTGGAATGATAAATTTTTAGAAAAGATGGTATTTACAGAGTAGATACATGCCTTGAATAACAACAGTCATCCTGGAACGGATCAAGATATCACTGTATATTTTTAAATTGGTTAATAACGAAATGTTTAGTGAAAGTTAATTGTCAAGCGAAATGGGAAAATCGTTTTTTTCTATAATCGTCCACAACTTTCCTTCAGTAACTTTTCCAGGAGAGAATCGCGTGCAATTGTACTTAAGGATCCCTATTCCACGTTATACCAAATAGTTATAAAAGATCATAGTTATATCTGCTGTACATCGATATTAGCATTACGTATTATAATCAGTAATAAATAGCTAAAGAAAGAAATTGAAAAATTCAAAGTCCCGCCTAAGGACGATGATCCTTTAATAATCAGTGACGTCATTCGTCACCAGGTACGTAAGTAAATAGGACGTGTCTGGCTCCCCTGTCAGTATCGCTTTGCTGAACTCGAATCATTGGAAATTTTCTCACAGCTCGTGAAACTTCGTTCAATTATAATAATTATCGATCGCGCGTATAGGTACCATTCTCATAGCACGATCGTGTTCGAGTTTTGGTCGTTCGTAGGAGAAAAAGTGCGGGCTGTATCTTTAGACCGACGGTGGCTGACGCAGAAAGATCCGGTTTCACTTGGCTCGGATGCAAGCGAGATTATCTTCTAATCTAAACGCCGAAATTTCTCTTCCCGCGTTGTTTTGCGCTTTCGCGAGCATTTCTCATTTACATTGAACGATTCCTGCCGATCGGCCATAGCGATCTTTTAATTCGTCTGTAAAATGTATCGAAACCGACTCGAGAAATGGGCGGAACTCCCGGTTACGAACGAATCACAAGCCAGGGGCTATTTTTGTGGTTTGCAAAAAGGCTGGCATCGCGTTATTAATACTCCGTCACACACTCGAAGCAAGTGATCATAAAGATATCGAGTACTGCGACGCGTGCTCGATTTCTCGAGACTCTGTCCTTCGATCGTACACCCGTTGAATCGCCTTGGCTGTACGTAAAACGTTCGTTTCAGAGGCTAGAGGCTATACAAAGTTCAAGTCTGATAAAGCCTTCCTCGGAACGGCGCACGTTCGACGAATTCTCGTGCACGTTGTTCTGTGTGCATCACGCAAGAAAAAAATGAGACTCTCGAGCTTTCCGGCGGTCCGAGGGAATTAACAATTAATCGAAAGGCGCGCGCGTCCCAGTCTCCCGACGATGCCGATGGTATCGCGGCCGTGAAAGTGCTCACTGACAATTAGATTGTCCAGAATTTTACTCGTTTCCGTTGTCTCACTACGATAGTTACAAATAGGTAGTTTGACTAGCCGTACACCGTTGCCTCGTCTTTTTTTTCGTCAGAGACCGGCGTACCGTGACGCACGGAGAAACGAGAAATCGATGGTGAAAATGATTGCACGAAACGTTCGTTTCGACGTAGCCTCGACGTTACAAAATTGACAAACGAAACGTACGTTCGTTTGGACAACGTCTTATGTGTTTTCCGATCCGTCTGCGATAAAAATGCTTCGCGAAGAGGAAAACAAAATTGCACACATCAGGCTTGATGTATGTGTGTGTCGAAACAGTATTAGCGACTCGCGTCATTCGCCAACGTCATCGCGGTTCCGCTTAAACGCGTTTTTTTTTAAGAAAAAAAATGATGCCTTCGTGGAAACCCAAATGCGCGCGATTTGAACGAAAGAAAGCATGTCGCGCGTCGTTCCTTCGAATTTCAACGTTTTCACGTTTCGCCATATGTTTTGCAGATCGGAAGAGTAAAAAGGCCACGATGGTTTCTTAAAGGAACGACAACCGTTAGGAGCAGCACGGTGAATACGTCAGTGTGGCACATGAGTCATTCAAGAGGAAACGGGGACGGGGTTCCCAGTGTGCCCACGGTTTCGTCGCCCCTGCACGGAAAGTGAGCGTAGAGCACCGAGGCGCGGCGAACATGGCCGAAGCGGGCCCGTCGTGCGGCAGTCGAGCCGGTCGAGCCCGAGCGATCTCCCGATCGTCTGATTGCGTGCTGGAACGACAGGTACCGAGGTACGGCCAGAGTTAGTAGTGGATTAGCCGCAACGGGAGCAGCAACGACGGCGGTGAAACGACGGAACGAGACGAAACGAAAAGAAACGAGGGAATAGGTATGATCAGTGAAGTTGACGTCGCAAGACTTGATCTAACGAATAAAAATAACGTCGTCGCTCGTCCTGACTATCATCCCCGGGGAACGGTCGTTGCCGAGTGAAGAGCGAAAACCGATCGAGAGGATCTCCTCGCGCAAACGCTGGCTGCTCCACGGAATATGTACGCGACGGAGGTGGGCGAGGGCCGTGCGAAAAAGTGGCGAAAACTGTGAGAGAGGTGCAGTGCCTCCACGTCGGTGGCAGTGGCGGTGTTGGTAGTAGTCGTGCTAGTGGTGTGGTGGTCCTGGCGTTGGTGGTGGTGGCGGTGTGGCATTGCTGGTGCTAGCTCCGTGTGTATGCGTGCGTGTATCGGTTGGAGACGCACTTCGACGGGGCTGTGGTTCGACTCTCTCGCTCCTTTCTGTCGCCCTGTCTCGTTCCCTCTTTCTGTCGAGCCCCTCTGTTCTGCGCGACGATCCTCTCTGTCGCTCTTACGGAGGCCATCGTACCGAAAGCGACCGAGCCAGGCCAGCCGCTACGCAAGATGGCTGTATGTCGCTAACGAGAGGCCGACAAACCAGACGGGGAAGACGACCCGGGGATAAACGGAACATGCTGCTACGTGATCGTTGGGCCCGTCCCTGAACAGAGAGACACTGGCCAAAGAAGCGAGAGGTGAGTGTCTCCTTCTTTTGCTACTCCAATTTTAACCTCGATCGCTGTTCCGTTTCTTTTCCTCGTCGGCTATTTCACTCGGACACGTACACCGATCTCTCGCTGTGTTTCCGTTCCTCTCACCCGTCGTGTCAGCCCGAAACGGACGACGAGGTCTTCGAATCGTTTTTTTCCACGATCCTGCGGTTGACAGGCTGTCGAATCTATGCCGTGCCGTGTCTTTTTACCGTCACCTCGATCATGCCCAACGTACGTGAGGAAACGTAAACAAGTTGAACGCGAACAACTCCAATCGCCGCATGTTCATCCCGTAAAGATTTTACGCGTAAACGATACGGCCGCTCGATCACGCGTTACAAATCGGATAGGTTAGATACGTGACAGTTGCAAGCATTTTTCTTCGCACCGGTTACCCTGTCAGCGTCGACGCGACGACAGCCAGCTAGTGGATCGTTCGACCCGAGACCGTGAACATCTGTTGCAGGAACATCCGGATCCTAACCTCAAAAATGTCGGTCTCCATTCGTCGTTGAGCAGAAGACACGCAGTCGGCCCGTGTTCTCGCGTCTCCTCCCGTCGATTCGCGCTTTCATCGACGTGCTGCTCGGTGGGTGTTTGTGTGTGTTCGTGGCCCAATAAACAACTTTCATCGTGAACCTCGTCGGTCGCGATGGAACCCTTGATAATCACGGGACACGCGACGAGACGTGCACGTATCGTTTCAACGGTTCAAACGGACTCCTCGTGCCGTCGGAGAGTGGAAAAGTTTCCGCGTTGCGAAGACGCGACACGTCGGCGTCGGAACGAGGAACATCTGTCGGCCGAGGTACTGTGCGTGCACGTCGGCCACGATTCACGTCGCAGAAACGTTTTCTCAATCGCTATTTCTGCGTGCCACCCGGTTCACGGGTAGTACTTACAGCGAGAGTCAGACTTAGATATCCGTAACGAGAAAAAACCAATTTGTTCAATGAATCTTCTATGAACGTCATTGCTCCACAGCCACCAGAATAGTATTAGTACGAAAACTACTTTGCAGATTGCCTACTCGTTTTTGACTGTCACTGTATGTAAACACATGATTCATCAGCAATAGAAATGTATTATTTTTCATACGTATAATGGATACGCAAGTTCATTCGCCAAAAGCGTAATATCATACTGCGAGTTGATGAGTAAACTAGTTTCATTACATATCTACTTGTGATTACTGTTTTGTCATTACATTATATCAATGTCTATCCTGGTTTGCCACGATTCGCTGCTACTCTCGACGAACTAATCCTCTACGCGTTTTCGAGAACAGCTTTTACCAATTTGTTAATGGATCCTTCCGAATTGATTAAATTTCCCAGTTTTAATCTTCTTGTTACTCGTTAAGTAGTTTTCCTTAATAGGAAACTACGCGACGGGAAAAAGCAATCTGGCAGTGGGAAAAAATGATTGTCGTTTCAAATCGTTTTCCCGCGGAACGGAACTCGCAATTGAAAATCCAATTAGTTTCATCTGCGTCTGTCCACCCCCGTCTCTGTCCAAGTCCGTTCATCCGCGGATCGATAGGTGCTCTATATTTTCGCGTCTGATTATCCTTTTCTAATTATCGATCGGCGTCTAGCGGTTCGTAAGGCGCACCAAGCGTAATCGGAAGTGGCAGCCGACGGCCGTCGCGTCGTCTACTATTCTTTTTTTTTTTGTAATACGCTGGTTTCTTCAAATGCGACCTTCCGAATGGCCTTTCGATCGCAGAGCCTTGCCACACTCGACACGTGCGTCCAGAATCAGAAGGACGTCACGCTTTTCAATCGCCGTACCTTTCTATCGTGTACATTATCGTCTTAATCCTAAAACAGCAATGCTATCCATCATGTCTAGAAGATTTACAGCCCCCTAAAGATTACGTTTTTATCACCATCAATTTTCTTTTCAACTCTTCGATTCATCGAAACCTTCAATTCTTTTAAACGTTAGAAATCATTTATCTTTTCTCTGGCTCTAGCCGGAAAAGTCCTTTTGTTAGGAAAATGAAAATCGACGTAATCCAATTGTAGTTGTACACGAAATGACTAACATCATCGTATAGAAGAATAGAAAAACAACGTATATATACGTTTTTTGTTTCATGTAGCGTGAGTAAAAGATACGCGTAACATCAACTGAATCGAACACACTAGCCGTAACGCACTAAAAGGCTTGTTTCGTGATTTCAATCGCGAGTAACCCCGCGGAGAGTACATATGAACCGAACATCGATCGATTAACGAATGTTGCTTGTTACACCACTCTAGAATATTCGCATTGATCTTTAGCTGACATTAAGCAAAGAAAGCCAGGCCCGAGTTATCGATATCACGCATTCGAGGGCAGATTTGTTATTCACGAAATATCCTTTGCAGACCTACTTATTCTTACCTTACCTCGAACCGTCGACAAAGAGTATGGAAATGTTCGCGTACGTGACATTTGATATTGCTCGAGGAAGTTCGCTTTGAGACTTATATATATTCGCAAAATGAGACCCCTGTACGTTCACGAGGTTTTTCGTCCGTCGGAATTTTCCACGCTCTGCGACCTCCCGTTTTGAGAAACGAGTCTCGGGTGAAAGCTCCTTCCCCATACTCTCACCGACCGTACCCCTCGACCGTCGGCTTAATCGTTCACCTGGTGGATCTCGGTATTGTGTTGCCAGTAAACCGCGATTCCTCTCGAAACCGCCTTTGACACGCTTTCGATTCGATCCCGGTACCATATGCACTCTGACGAAACTGTAAGCTGGATTCGACACATGAAAATCCATCGTTTGCTAGTTTGATCGATGGGAAAACCATACGTTTTGTTAGGGTATTCTTTTTGAAGAACAATATATTTTCGTTCGTGTATATCTGATTGAGAAATTCCTCTTAAATGGAATCTGAACAAAGTCCGCTACGATTTTGTTTTGACACACCTGTTAATCAGCTGACTGAAGTCCATTTGTGTGATGGTTTATTACCGTAGTTCTGATTGAAACAAATATTGTTTATGAGCCACGTTGGTCGTCGTTGTAGTCGGTTTCGAAACTGGTATCACCGAGCAGAAAATTCGTAGACAGACGTCGTCGGCCTTCGAGTGTGACGCACAGCAGGGAACGCGAAGCGTTCCGTCGCGTCGCGCGTTGAACAAACAACCGATTCGATTTATATACCTGCAAACGACGACGTACTACTCCGTATCGCAGTAGTGGTACGCGCCACGAAGACGCGAAACGGATCTGAAAGGGCGTGAACGATGTACAACACATAATTGGAAAGTTCCACGTTATCATCTGTCGCGATTGGCGAGGAAAGCGTGGAATTTTACGGACGGCTTCGATGCCATGTATAATGTATTTATTGTGTGGTAATCTTAACAATCGCTACCATCGAGGTTTCTGTGATTCCACAAGAACCGTCGTACGAACGCTCCAAAAGCCTTGTTACATAACATCGAGCAATGCTTTGTTTTGACCGCGTCGTGTCAGCCGGTGCACTCGAAGTAGAGAAAAGTAAGATGTTCAATGGAAAAACACGTAATTACACGTATTAAAACGTAAAAGGATAAATCGGCGAAACCAATTTGTCTAGAATTATGCAAAGCTTAGAGAATGCCAAGCGATTCTCCAAACTTTCGATAAGAGATTATTTTCGCAACGCAATCGTATTCGCAACTTGCGAAACGTTACCAGAACGAAATTACGAAACTGTCTTTTCCACAGAAATAAAAAACAGAGAAAATCGGTGGGTCTTCCTAATGGTATCGCGGCTGCCTCGTGTTCAATCGCGCTTATCATTGTTCCTCTCTAACCGTGAAAGGTTACTGCAAAATCTACGTACGAAGTGTAACACGTGATCGTCCAATTTGTCGGCATACTTTTGTGCGCGCGATTGCACGTTATAAATACAGAACGTAACAGCAGACGTTTATGATCGCGATACTAAACGGATAATTTACGGCGACGCACTTCACAGCCTCTCGCGGGGGAACGGCGCGTCGCTATGCTCCAGGCGCGTAATTGCGTGCTTTTAAGATTGTATAACTTTGAATAAAATCGTTTCCTCCCGAGATCTATTTCAGAATCTGGAGTAGTGTCGAACAATTTATCGGAAAATACGTTGTCTCCAACTTATATTCCTTCGGTTATCAATCGATCGGGTCACAACCAGACGTTTGCACTTGATCGGCAATTTATTGTTTCTATCTGAAACGAAATTGCTCATGCATCCGTTGCGTGACGCCTTCGTTAAATGACTCGTGTCAATTGCACGTAATAAATTAACGTTACCACGATCGATTCTCGTCTTCCTCGTAGTGGCGCCGAAAACTGGTCGACCTTTACCCCTGCGGCTCAAAGATTTGGCTCGGCCTCGCTGTTTGTTCGTGATTCACCCTCGGTTCATTGTTCGCTTCGCCGTCCGCGGGTTTCCGTAAAACCGAAGCTGGGCTAAGGTCAGAACGGTTCCAAGGACTTTTCCGATTATCTACCAATTAAGTTGACTCATTGCGCATAAGCGGTACGTGCGATTATATGCAATCGGCGCGTCGCGCACCGCAGCTTGGAACGCGTAAACAACTACCAATGTATCAGAGTCGTACTTTCGTTTTGTCCCTTGGCGCAACTCGCGCAGATAGACAAGAGCCAGTGACTCATCGCCGGTTGCCAGTTTCATATCCTGATGGAAAACAATAGTCTGCTTTCGAATCCGGCGTCGTCCGCAGCGGATCGGGAAATCTTCCTACATATTTTCTTCTATATTTGTCTCGAAACGGGCGTCCCTCAAAGACTGGATTTGGATCTCCTTTAATTCAGTCGTCCGGGAAAACTCGGACGGATTAGGCCTCGCGTTGTTTGCCGGCTCGGCTCCTACCCGCTCCGTTTCGTACCATTGTGCGCCGTAGCCCCGGCGCGATTATACGCGAATCGTTCGCGGATAACGCGCGAGATCAACGACAGTCAGTTGCAGTAGTAACGAGGACGTCGCGAGTTTGCAATGCAAAGTTCGTGCGCGCGTGTCGCTCGCATTTATCGCGTTGTCACAAGCTAACACGACGATATTTTATTTGTTGCATCCTATTTACTCGTCCAGCAGGGAGGAGCTATTTGTACAGAGAACGCATATGGATGGCATAAAGTGAAATAGCGTTCATAACGAACGCGGTCCAATAAATAGTAAACATATTTTTCCTTCGAAGTATGCTCGACGACTGTACTTCAGTTTAAAAGAGTCGTCCGTTGCCAACACACTATGTAATTTGCCTTGCCTTAAAATATTCTAAACTATTTTTGTAGACGTTTGTAACGTCAAAATACAAATGTACACGTGAATGAAGTTCGCAGCTCCGATTTAGAATCCCGTTCCCAAGGCGAACGCTCGAAATGTATAATGTAAACCGAAACGGCGGCAGATACATACGTAATTGTAATGTTCTGAGGCACACGCAATGACCAAAGGCAGCGAACACGATGATGTATAAAGGTTGGCTGGTTGCGAGTAAACTGAAACTCCTTCGATCCGCTATCTCTTCGTCGCGCGACGACGCGACGGCGGCGTTACGTAAAGTCGTTCGTAAGCTTTATTACAACGCGGTTCGAAGCCGACGTCCCTTACTGGTCCCATTTTCCCCGCATTTGCCAAGCGCCGTTCGTTTGACGCAAGTTCGGCTTCGAATATCGTCGTCGACCAGGGCCAACGCGCCCCTCTTCGTTCGCTGGAGTTTCCTACGACCCACATTTCTCAACGTTTTTCCTTTCTTCGTGGCTCTCACCTCGCCGTGCTAACGTGCGACGATGTTTTACCTGATTTTCACGCTTTGATCCTTTGGTAAACGACAAAATCGTAGAGTTCCGGGTTTTTAAACTGTACTTTTAACGTTCATACGAATCCTTTAAATCCGCTTTGCTAAATTTTGTTCTTACATTGGATAAAAGAAGGTTGACGCTATAATGATGAAGCAATTTGTAAAAGATATGAACCAACATTTTGTGTTAACGCTTTGGTCTTCGATCGAAGAAGTCTAATCGAGAAACGATTTATTCGTAATCCGTTCTACATCTAGCAGCAGCGATGAGAAACCTACGGCAAGCCGAACTTGTTTGCGCGACCCATTTTGATCGGCCACAGCGGTGACCAATACACTTAACAAGTGTACACGGTACACGAGCCCATAAAGTTTAATGGATTTCGTTCTTCTCGGCAGTGTCCATCATATTACTCAATTAATTCGTGTATGCATTAAGTGTACGTAAAAAGCGGCTCGCTTCGCTGGCCTGGCCTGTATGACTCCATATCGAGCATCAGTTTAAACAAGAACTCTCTCCGACCGGCTGACAAGGCGGTTAACATAAACGTAACTGTACTCGGTGGTACCGTAGATCGTTCATAATACGGAGCAACACTATTTCTGACAGGCAGCACTATAATTAGAGCACGTCCTGCACGCGAATGAAACCAGGGGCCTTCTACATCAGAATAGGGGAAAGAGAAAGAAAGCGGGGGCGGAAGAACTGGATTGTAGGTATCGAAAGTATCCGAAACGCTCGTCACGCTCGGTCGATTCCACCCTCTTCATCGTGCAAAGCGCGATTCACCGGGTCTTACACTCGTAAATCGTCGAATTCGCACGCGCACGTCTGGCACTTTTTTGTATTCAATAAAAGAAAGGAAACAACGTTATCTTATCGGTACAGTAATTTCGTACGAAGACGGGCACGAGTTTGCTCGGGAAAGTACCCTAACTCTCGCAATTCGCATTGTGCACCAGATAAATACAGACGCGAGCAAACTGTGTAAATGAACTAGCTAAACACTTTCTTGGTCATAAACAGCGGCGCGTGGGAAGAAATTCGATTCCTAGTAGAATAAGAGCAGTTGTAGCAAAGTGAATAGCAATAGGAACTATTGGAGAAGCTCGAGACCCACCGAAAATGCTTGTGCGCCCTGTTGCAGCTCGCTCGAAGAGTGTCAACGCGCGAGGAAACCTGATATTCGGTAGATGCCTTTTGAGAGCCGCTGGCCCGAATCAGCGTGGAACCATACAAAGGCGCACGTACGTGAAGGAGCGAGCGACAGAGAGAATCGGAGAGCGGGTGGAGGAAAGAGAGAAATAAAAGGACTCTAAAATATTCATAGTCTTCATGTTTGATCCGTGCTCTTTTTATATATTGCGCGAGCTGTAGGTTTCTCTCCTCGCTCGAATCATATCGACGGTGTCCTCTCTTTTTATCGGTGCCTCGGAACGACGCCCCGGGACGAAATCCGAAATATGTACAAAAAGTATCGTGGCCCATCTCCTGTCTGCCGTCGGCCCCTACAACGTTTCTAGTTTCGTTATTTGTAGTTCGTTTCTGCTTTTATGTTGTTTACCGTCGGCCAGGCGACGATATCGCTCGTTAGATAACTTGAAAGTATAGCCACGTACCCGGCGGCCGCATTTTGTATTGTGTTCGATGAAACGGCATTTTTAGTGACGTTTCGGAGTCAGGTGGGGTTTGAACAACGTCATGAACATTAGATAATCTATGTATTTACCTTGGAAGCGAAACTTTATTCATATCGTTCGATCTCTTAAAAGAGTTTTGATTCCTTTTATTCTAATCACGTATGGACGTTCTTATTTGTTATTTTCTTGAAATTTTCAGTACATAAGAGCCGATCGCTTAATGAATATCTTTTATTATTATTTCAGGGAATGTGTGACATGTTCATCCAAACACAGCAGACGAGCAGCGTCAACGGCAGCAGCAGCAGCAGCAGCAGCAGCAGCAGCAGTAACAACACCGTTCACCACCACAGCAAGAAACGCAAATTGGAGTACAACGTGAGCCAGCCGGTGATCCAGGACGCACTGGTCCAGTCGACCGGCGACTACCAATTAGACAATACCGGGCTGCAACAACGGTACTCCGTGAACGGTGCTAATACCGCGTTTAGCTCGCTGCACAACAATAATGCGCTGCAGAAGAGTAGCCCGAACCAACAGACCCTGGTACGAGCCTCGACGATCAAGCTCTTAGACACGTACCAACGCTGTGCCGGCCAGAAGGTTGGTGCCCACTTCCTATGCGATCTTCTCCTACCGATAAACTCTCTTTCTTGACCCCGTCGTCATGGATCGTGGTTGAAGGAAGAGAACTCGTCTCTTTTCCCCGTCTCCTTTCCTCCCTTTCACTATTCCTCTCTTTGGCTACAACGTTGACGCATCAGTAAACAGTAAAATATCTAAGTTCGATGGATATTATCATTGCTGACTGTATCTGTAATTTCTGATTTTTTCCGAACTCCTAAAGTAAAGCTATTCAAATTTTTGGACTGCACCGATGGATGTAAGCGCAACTTGAGAAAGCTCGTAATCGACGATAATGTATTCGCTCTTCTTTATGTTCTTTTTCCTCTGGTAGTTCTTTACCATCGATATACGTTCAATAAGGCAAATGTATGTCGGCTATAAATAAGCGCTAACGCTAAAGCCGTTTTCGTCTTAAAAAGAACCTAAAGGAGACTTTCTTCCACGATCCTCGACGTGCCTCGATGAGACCCAAGGAAGAAACCTAGCTCAAACGACTGTTATTTATGAACGAAGTAGCCTCGATTTTATTTTGAGTAGTTCACGTCCAGGCGCGTCGACTATTTCAAATCCTTCGTCCTAAATCCTTTTAGGTGTGTCTTGTCTCCTTTATGTCGTTTCACTTCGGGTCACCGTCGATTTTCACGATCAATATTACAATTTCTGTACGTTCACTTCGTTTCGACATCCATCCAGTTTCGTCTGATAAGAAAGCTTATACATCCGCAGTGTTTGTCTCGGCTTGTTTTTCCCCGTTTTCGCACGACACGACTCGCTGCGGTCATTAAAAATAGTGCTGCGTTTTTTCCTTCCATGAACGAGCGAGCAGTCATCGTTTTTTTCTTCGCGACGATTGAAAAATCGGGCTCGTCGTCAGCTAGTTTGGATTTCAGAATCGAATAAGAAAGCCACACGCCGATGAGTTAATGCCTTTCAACATTTCCGATGGATTAACTTTCACGAAATCAATTCGGTTTCGTATAAACGTAGTTTTCTCGTATTACCGTTTCGTAAATAAGTCCCCGATAATCCGAAGAATAATTAAAGAACGGAACGATTTGTTTCGTTTGACCTGTCGATAACTGAGACTCCGTATTCGATGATCTTTAGTCAAGTAACTGTTCTGTGCGACGTAGTTACGTATCGATTGTTCTCAAGGTTTTCATTTCATATTTGATGTAACTGTCGGTCGTAGGTGATGCCAAGTTTCCCTGATGCTAAATCTTGATAAAAATGATTCGATTTAAAAAAATCGTACACGAGACTTTTGTCTGGCACTTTTTGTAATTCATAAGTGTTCATCAACGTTCCACGCATGCAACAAGATTTACCTCACTCATTATGTACACATAACGTACACGTGTCCGCATCCGAGTTACGTTCACATAACTGATGAGATCGCGTTTTGGGATCTACGTCATGTCGTCGATTCAAAGTTTCCTCCTTGTTTTGCCGCGTTTCGTGTTCGACGCAAAGTGTGTCCCTTACCAATAAGAATGCTGCAATAAAACTACCTACGATCTCTTTAACGTCCAAAAATTTTTGTATAAGGTGTATTCCTCCTACAGAGAAAAACTTGGTCGAGGGAGGGTAATGGTGACGGCCTGGCAGTCCACTCCGCCAACGCGACCAACGCGGTGGGTAGTACTGTAGTGTCGTCCCAGCACCATAATCAACAACAGCAGCTGCAACAACAACAGCAGCAACAGCAACAACAGCACAAGCAGACAGGCATGACGGCACATAGCAAGCAGGTGACTAACGCTGCCAATGGAGGCGGCGGTGGCGGCGGAAGCAACCCTCAAGGAGACGGAGATTACCAGCTGGTCCAGCATGAAGTTCTTTATTCAATGACTAATCAATATGAGGTCCTTGAGTTTTTGGGCAGAGGTACCTTCGGACAGGTAAGAACCTTTCCCTTTAGGATATATGAATGAACAGAATTTTCTACCTGCGTGTCGTCATTAAATGAAATTCCTACAACGCAGGTCGTGAAGTGCTGGAAAAAGGGAACCAATGAAATAGTAGCCATCAAAATTTTGAAGAACCATCCATCGTATGCGCGCCAAGGGCAGATTGAGGTGAGTTATATACAGCTAAGAATGGGTTTCAGAATCTTTTAACTTGGTTGTAAATCTTGCTTCTACAGGTCTCCATCCTGTCTCGACTCAGTCAGGAAAACGCGGATGAGTTCAACTTTGTGCGCGCTTACGAGTGCTTCCAGCATAAGTCCCATACCTGCTTGGTCTTTGAGATGCTCGAGCAAAATCTTTACGATTTCCTGAAACAGAATAAATTCTCACCCTTGCCGCTTAAATACATTAGGCCGATTCTCCAACAAGTACTCACCGCCCTTTTGAAGCTCAAGGTGAGTCTTCGCTCTTGTACTTGGCATCGGCTATTACTACGAGGACAAGGTCAGTTAGATAACGTGACGAATATGTTTTTTCAGCAATTGGGGTTGATTCACGCCGATCTTAAACCAGAGAACATCATGCTGGTGGATCCAGTACGTCAGCCCTATCGTGTGAAAGTTATTGATTTTGGGTCAGCCTCCCATGTGTCGAAAGCTGTCTGCAACACGTATCTGCAATCGCGATACTACCGTGCACCCGAAATTATACTTGGACTTCCGTATTGTGAAGCGATAGATATGTGGTCGCTCGGCTGTGTGGTCGCGGAATTGTTTTTAGGATGGCCTCTATATCCCGGTAGTTCAGAATACGATCAAATTCGATACATCAGCCAGACGCAAGGCCTACCAACCGAACACATGCTAAATAATGCTAGCAAGACAACAAAATTCTTTTATAGGGACATGAATAGTAAGTATCACGTTTCGTGAACTGCCTTCGAGTTTACTTCCGGTTGGTTACGAATAATCTGGAATAATTTACAGGCACATATCCGTTTTGGCGATTGAAAACACCGGAAGAGCATGAGACCGAAACTGGTATCAAATCGAAGGAGGCGAGAAAGTATATTTTTAATTGCATCGATGACATCGGACAAGTTAATGTTCCGACCGACTTGGACGGTGGTCAACTGTTGGCTGAGAAAGCAGATAGGAGAGAGTTCATCGACCTCTTGAAGAGGATGCTCACAATGGACCAGGTAGTAATATCTAATTCATGTTTTGGCCGCATAAGTGTTTAGAGAACTATGATACGGTCAATTGAAAGATCATTCCCTGTTCACTGTGCATTATCGTGTTTTAGGAGCGCCGCATAACACCCGGGGAGGCTCTGAATCATGCCTTTGTAACGCTGGCTCATTTGGTCGATTATGCACACTGTAACAACGTTAAAGCTTCCGTCCAAATGATGGAGGTTTGTCGGCGAGCCGGTGACTTTACTGCGAGTCCGGCGCATCACCAAGCTCCTCCAGCACCTCAACCACCTCAGCCAACGTCGCTGGTAGCTAACTTCGTCCCGACGACGAACGGCAGTGCCGTGACCTTCACCTTCAACAACCAACTGACCAATCAAGTACAACGATTGGTCAGGGAACATCGCACTGCGCAAACGGGATACGATAATCTGGTTCGTCGACGATCTTTAATATCGAATTTATTTAAAATGTTCCTCGATTGTTTGCTATTATTATTATTGTATCTTTTTCATTTTCTAGTATCAAATATACAGTAACAGCAGTCGTCGCGCGACGCAGTATAGTAGCTCGTCTAATGGCTCAAACAGTGGACGAAGCGGAGTGCATGATTTTCCGCACCAACTGGTGCCAGGTTTACTTTGCCATCCATCCAGTTATCAGACGATGCCCAGTCCCGCGAAACACGTAGTCGTTGCTCAGGTAAGCAAGATATTAATTCGTATTCTCGTTCCCTGTTTAATTTCATTGTCTCTTCTTTTTGAAAGCCTCCACAAGCGCAGCAAGGTCCGCTACAAATTCAACCATCGATCATATCGCAGCAGGCTGTTGCTGCCGCGGCCGCGGCTGCTCAGCAACAGTACGCAGCGGTTCCTGTGTCCATGGTGGAGACTGGGCGACAAATGTTGTTAACGGTAAATCTGCCGATGTCAAGCAAATCTCAGATTTTTACCAAACGGATAGCAATAACGATAGTCGTATCTTAGAACGCTGTGCAGACCTCTTGGCCTGGTGGAAGTCGTCAGATGGCCGCGATTGTACCATCGTGGCAGCAATTGCCACCGCAACACGCAGCCATACAACAACCGTTACTGAGCGACGCTGGAGATTGGGGGAGACCTCTTATCGTTGATAGCTCAGCTATCCTGCAGGTAGACGCTTTATCAGCTTATTGAAATTATGTCTCCATGAACGAACAGATTTTTTAACTAATCTCCCTTGTTTTGGGGAAGGATCAGCGGCCGGTGTTTCCTGTCACAGAAGTTTACAATACTAGCGCCCTTGTCGAGCATCCGCCGGGTTGGGGCAAACGCAGTGTGACCAAGCATCATCAGCATCACGTGACGGTGCCTCAACAGTCTCAGCACAGGCACGAGCATAAGAAGGAGACGCAACAGTTGAGCCCGGTGAAAAAGAGAGTAAAGGAGAGCACGCCTCCGAGCAACATGAGACGGCACTCGCCCTCGAGTGGTCATTGGCAACAACAACCTATGCAGCAACATCATCATGGCAGCAAACACAGCAGTAATCACAATGTAGAGCACCATCAGGTCACATCCGGTCGGCAACAAACCATCACCATTCATGACACACCGTCGCCGGCCGTTTCCGTGATCACGATCAGTGATAGCGAGGACGAAACACCGGGCAAATGGTAAATTACGCGTTTACTTATGTATATGTAGAATGTAATGCAACTAGTTAGAAATCTGCTTGCAATTATAAAAAAATAGCTTCATGTTCGTTGTAACGGAGTTATAGCAACCTGGATATTCAATCTGTTGTTTCGCACAGTTTTCTAAATCACAGATACAATTATTCGGTATATACATTTGTTTTCTTTTGATCAATTTCATTTATAGAGATTTGATATGTTTCATTCATAGGCGTTTCGATCGCAAAGCATATTTTACTAATATTTTATTGGTAGATTAGAAAGTAGTTGAATCATGCATGAATATCATTGACAGCTGTGGGGATCGGCAATGTGGAGCCTGTCAAAATTTGGCAACTCGCCTGTCTGGCGATGGACGACCAGTCCGCGAGGAAGTCATACGAAGGTACATGAACGTAACGTAATATTACGCACGACAGCATTAGTTAATGATTAACAGTCGTTAATAACATTTATGGTTCGATTTTTCTATTCGTCAAAATAGAAGTACGCATTTGAAGTGTCCATAGTTTCGACCATAAATTAACGCTCTAACTTTAATAATATTTAACAGCTCTGGCGTTTAATATCAGTTTTTCATGTTTAATGTAACTATTTGCAAATTGTCCGGGATATCGATTTTTCAGCTCATTCAGGCTTAACTTATCGCGTTTCATCTTTCATTTCCAGCACCCAGTCCACGCCGCGCGTGGTTCAACCTATGCAACAGACCCACTCGAGTAGCCAGTCCCATACAAACGGACACGTGACGACTCACAGCACATCGCAGAGGACGTCGCAGCGGAAAAATATTATCAGTTGCGTGACCGTTGGTGACAGCGACGGAGAAGCCAGTCCGGGCCGGGCCCACAATCACCTTTACCAACATTTACCGCAACATACTCAGCATCAGCAAACCACGCAACTAATTAAACACGAGCCACAGCAACAACATCATGTCAGCAGGTAATTGAATCGTCTATGAAAATCGTTCTAACGTCGTCCGTAATGATCGGGGCGATGGTGTAACGTGAATTCGTTCTATTTGATTGTAGCAGCAGCTCTGGCTACTCCTCCCAATCGCAAAAGAAACGATTATTGGCGAAAGTACAGTCTGAATGCAATATGGTGAACGTTGCGACGAAACCGGAACCCGGCGTCGAGTACCTCGCACCACATCCGTGTCACGCGCCAACTTGCAAGGAGCCACCGACCTATCAGGTTAAATATAGATTTGAATTAATGACAATTTCTACTTTCTATCATTTCTTAGTTCAATCCGTCTTGCTCTTATTTATTTTTTATTTTTTATTGTTACTTATTGACAGTCGAGTGAGGAACAAATGGCAACGACTTTTGGTCACAAAACCCCTACCCCTGTTTTAGTAATTTATTTCTTTTGATAATGTTTTCTAGGATGATGCCTATGACATGCATGACTACTTCTTGCAGTATGTGACCACAAGTAGCGCGCATCCTCATCTTCAAGAGCAGCACATCGTGTATACGACCGGCACGGACAAGCGAGTATCGTGGCCCGGAAAGAGAGCGGAGTACAAGCACGAGTACATCCAACCACCGGCTGCTCATTCCAGAGATCATCAGAAATGGGCGGTGGCGAATTCTGTGCACCAATACAGGTAACAAATACTTGTAATGTATTCCTTGTCTATGTGTTCACACTCGAAGCATGCGAGACATTTATACACACACATAGATCTTAGACGAGTTTTTAGCGGATAGAAATAGATTGTTCAGGAAAATTCGTTGTGCACGTAGTTTGTCGAAATGCATGTACATAGGTTTTCTCTTCGAATGAGAAATGACCAAACCGATGAACGGGCGGCTCGTGTACACGTTGTCGAGACGAGTGACGGGCCGAGTGTCACGACGGGGCAAGTAAACAGCATGAATTTTCCATCCTCAGCTCCGAAGGGCCGAGAGTTAAATACTATGATCTCGAATTCGTGGCTGCGTGGATAAATATACCGCGTTTCAATTATTTCTGAAGTCTGTCGAGGTTTCTTTGTACGAACGATCTGCGTGGCCCGAGTTCGGGATTATCGAAGTACGTGGCATTGAAACGATCGGTCTGTAGTTCTCCCAGTCGGTTTGGTCCTCTTAGAGAGAGAAAGAGAGAGACTTCGTTACAGTAAGTAAGAGAACGCATGGGAATTTGCATAACGAAGGGTTGGATTTTGTTCTGGGTTTTGTAGGCAGAGCCAGGTGGTGGGTACGGCAGCCCATCCGGGTCATACCCACAGTCATCATGGGCATCCGGCCCACCTTAGTCCTGGGGGCGGTGGCGGGGGCAGAAGTCCTGCGGGTGGGCCTGTGATAGGAAGTGCACAGCACCTGGGGCAACCCCTATACCAAGAGTACGCTCACGTGCGTTCAAGGGCCCACGCCGTGCCACGCCCGGTGTACGTTACCGCCGCGCCTTCTCAGGCTCCTACTGCTATCCAGCAGCAACAAGTGCCCACCTATCAGGGATTCACACCCGGGTGGGTACCTAGACACCTAGTTGATGCATGCATGTGTGTACCATTTATTATATTTTCGTTTTAGAGTATAGTCTTTCTGATCGTAATAGTTGTTATATATTTGTGATCGTACACCGTAGTTATTGTTGCAAATATATACATATATTAGTGCGTTCCCGTGCAACCGTTTTACCTTGTTCTCAGTGGCATGTAACGTCGTAAAGATCGTGCGATACATATATGTATTTACGAATATTTATATGTAGCTGGATAATTAATATTTTCTCTTAACGAAAGAAAGAATGTGATGTTCGTTCCATCTACTTGTTTTCGATTTGTTAAATATTGTATTATGCCGTTACAACGGTTGTGCAATATGTACTTTACGTTCTAGTGTACGTGTATTGTAATAAAGTAGAATACCATTGATTGCCTGCTTAGAATATTGCACAAAGAACAAGTATTTTGATATTGTATTTTATGTAAAGAAAAAGAAAGTTATTTATCAATTACTCGATTCTTATCAGTGTATGATATACTATATATATATATATATATATTTCGTATATAATGTTATCTCGTTATAAAACCGTATGCGTGTGGAACGAAAAAAATGATATATATCTATTTTATAAAACAAATGTTTCATTTCCCTTTTTAGAACTTTACGGAGAAACTTCTAACGTTCATTATCCCGTTTTTTACAGCTCGTCTCCATTAACGTTGTATGATTCTAGTCGAGCGTTGCCACCACCAGCTCATCACAGCTCAGCAAGACCGTTGCTAGCAAGTCATGCAGCGCATCCACTGCCTGCACATATGCAGCCAACAGCAGTTTACGGATTGGCCCCGCTTTCACCGGCCAAACATCAATATCAACCTTCTGGTTTGTGGTTCACCGAGTAAATTATTCCTTTGGTTAGTTTCCGAGAAAAAATTAGACGGCGTACGCGTAATACAATTTTTCGCTGTGGCTCTACTCTTTCTTTTTAAACTTCACTCGTGCTGATCGAGCGAAAGGAAACAGAAAGAACCCTTTGTCGTTGTTGTACTCCCGATTCATTCCCGTGAACGTGTTTTTTTTACTAGTGAACGAGGGGGGTATTTCGCGATACTATTTGAAAACACCGAATAAATACACTAAGCTTTATATATTATACATATATACATGCGGAAATAAAATTTTACGACTGACGAGGACTCGACGGAGTCCCGAGAGGCAAGACGTTCTCCAACTTAACTTTTTGACAATCCGTCCTTAAACAGCGATCGCCCTCTTCGAACTGCCTGTCTGTGTTGTTGCAAAAATAAGTAAATGTTGTGTCTATGCAGTTTCGATTGTGAAAAGTATAAATTGTGGATCGGATCCCTTCGCGTTACGTCCTGACGCATCCATTAGCGCGTTCGTCGTATGTCCATCGTGAAACGTGCTGCTCTTTTTCCTTTTGCCCGATCGAACGAAAAATTGTATATGCCGATTAAACTTGAGAACAGATGAAAGTAACGAAAGGAAATGGGAGCCCTTCGGCGTCCCTTGTTCTTCGCGTTCGCGCAATCGTTTTCTCAGTGAACCATCGCTTCGATGATTTGTATTATTTTTTCTCAAACATCGTTTTGGTGATCGACGTACAATTTTTGTCCGACTTAGACGGCGCATATGTTGTATATGCATGGACGGTATATATACGTTATATACCCGACGTGTTTCCTTTTGTATGTTTCTAAGCAATAACGTTCGCCGCGCCAAAGAGAAATTTTACGGGATCATATGGGAGAAGCAAAAAAGAAAGACAAGCCGTTCTGATTTGTGACGGTGATCTTGTATCGTGAGTTAAATTATGCGCGGTTTAAGCAGGTGAAAAAAATGATTGATAATTTGACAGAACTGTTTCGCCTCGATTCGAGGCAATCTACCGAATTATCATTCTATCAGCGCTAACAGGAATAAGTTTGCATTTCTTTGTGGTAGAACATGTACATTATATATTATGTACGGTTTTTAATTCTCGTTAATGAATGGTGGTCTTAGCGCGACAGAATCCACAGCTATTTCGCTGGAAATTATTTGTTGTCGAGCGTGACACAACGCGTTGATACGTATGTTTTGAGCGTTCTCCTTCGAACGGGTTCGTCAAAGACGATGCCCCTTCTCAATTTCGAAAAGAGAGTTTGATTGTTTGACACGCATATTACACACGACACAACAGGCGGCACATTGTTTCGTCGTGACGATGTACCCCGAAGAAGTTTCATACGATGGATTTATTTCTAGGATTACATTTCGGAGAATGTCGGTATACGAAAAGATTGTCTGAGTTTAGAATCGATTTCATCTAGATTGATTCGAAACGAAATATTATACGTAATATAGTTGATCGCACGGTTAAACGTTGTATTTGACAAGAGCTGTGCCTCCCCGCAGCAGCGTCACTATTTATTTTTACATAATTATTCTGTTATCGCTCTCGTAACTATTGCTATTAATTACCATTAATACTACTATTATTAGTATTACGATTTAGGCATCACTGATTTTTATGATAATCACACTTATTAGTAGTGCTTGGATTTTTGTAGATAGGAACCTTGCATTCATTCGTTTGGTTCGCTTCAAATGAAATTTGAACGTGACTCTCGCAACTTTATTATTAACACACATTCATCTTATTTCATCGATCATTTCTCGTACATCTTTTTGCATTTCACCCAGTGTCGTAGAGTATCGAATAATGTACGTGTCGGATACATTGCACAAATCTGCGATACACCCTTATACGACAAGGGAACCAGTACATTTGTAGTATTCCATGAAATTGCGTTCAGAAAGAGATAAGTGAAGAACGGAATTGCGAGACTCGATGAGTCTCTCCGTGTCTATCACAATGTCGGATTGCACACATTTTTTCTTCATTGTTCGTTCGATTACTATGAGCGCGTCGACCGAACTTTCTTTCAGCAATACCCAAATTTCTCATCGAATCATGTTCTTCCTTCCGACACTTTTTCACGTCAGTATAGAGAAAGCAGTTTCATAACATTTGTGAGAAACAAGAAAAAATACATATATTCCTCGGTCGGGGGATGCATTCGACGTGCATGTGCATGCCCAAATCGTCGATTTGTACATAATTATTATACAATTGTTAGCGAGCAGCTCTCTTCCTACGTTTTTTGATGTTCAAACCAATGAAGTAAGGGGTAGATCTGCACGCACGACATTCTACGGCTCGTGGCACAGTTTTAAACGGTGGTAAGGGGTCTCCCTACGTGCTGACATGTATATCTCGTGGTTTTTAATGGAATGACGCTTAGGCATTGTTTTGCTAATTATTTTATATACGTAGCTGTACGATAACGTAACAGAGGTATTAGCTGTGGTACATTGATTAAAGTGATCCATGTTCAGAGTTTAATCCTTCCGCTACCCTGGACGAGATATCTCACCACCCGGTGCTGATCGATTAAGGCTTTTGACGAGATATCTCGCGGTCCGGTGCTGTCCGATTACCGCTTTTGACGACACCTCGAGACCACCCATCTGCACTGCGAGATATCTCGTTAAAAGCGTTAATCTGTCAGTACCGGGTGGCTAGATATTTTGTCTATGGTAGCGAAAGGGTTAATTAGGGGATATTTTACGCGTAGAACGAGGATGCGAGTGGTCAAGATTTTGAGAGATTGACAGGAGCGCGTGGTAGGGAGAGAAAGGAAGAGAGCGATGTTAGAAAGAACGCGAGAGTGACAGTTTAGATATTTTAGCAATATCGTAAACAAAACTTCTTCATATATACGAAAACGAAACTGATAACCCAGTTAATTTAGATTTGTATATAGACTCTAAATCTCTTTATTTCAAATAATAATGGATGCAATTATTTGAAGAGGCACCGATAATTTTCTCGTCTTTTCTTCTATGGAATTCCCATTGGTCCGTTTCAATTAATTCTCACAAAAGCTTTAGCAGCGTGTCTAGCGCAAACGATTACGTTCATCATCTATTTCAAACGCGTTACGCGATTATATATTTATATAGAATCAAGAAGTAAAAAATTATGTAACCAAGTCAATGTGCCTGTTTAACAATTAATCATATTTAACAATTTATATTTACTGCTAACTAGGGGGAGAAAATAAAGAGGAAGAAAATCTTTGAATGAAGTAGCAGCGAGGTTCGCAGTAAACTGTAGTTTAGAAATTACGATCGGTGTCGTGTCGATTACACACGCAATACAAAATTATAATAATTGAAGCAAGCACATTTGCGCTCCTACGTGCGTATATGTATGTATATATGTGTATGTATGCTTCCGCAGTAAATCGTGTCGCGTAGAAAAAGAGTCTTTCTACGAGAGAAACAAAACGGTCATATCGGTAGATTTTTCGCGCTCTATATTTAAATAAAAAGGAACACACGTTCGTCTGTATGTATAGAGACACGTATTTTTTTCCTCGCGCGAATCGGTACGTGCACAAAAACTCAAGTTAGAAGAGAGGGAGTGTATGGTGGTCACAGTCATTTTATCATGCTTAATATTTTTTCATAGATACACGTTGTTAGATGAACCATAGGCGAGGGAGACACGCTGGCTTCAGTCAAGTTTTTCGTTTCTTTGTCTTCATCCAAAGAGCAAGTCTTGACTGACGATAGGTAGAATATCCGTAACGTTAGCATAAGACTGTAACTGTCGATCGTTTCGATTAATCATCTTATGTAATCTATATGTACATGTACCTTGTTTTATTATTTACGTCGAGGCATACGTGAAAAGTATTTGGATAGTGGATTCGTTAAGCGGTCTCATACGGAGCTTGATTTGATTATCGGTTAACTCCCTAACAAATATGTAGGGTTTACTTATCCTCTTTGGTGTTATTACTAATTAACAAAGCTTTCTGGGTTTAGAACGTATACGCAACTGTACACGGCGGTGGTCCTAGGTGGTTAGTTTCTCGATTTATTAGGTCGTAGATCGTCAGTCAGTACCAAGCTCATCTTTAACACGTAGTCATTGTTATATGCGTCGTAATAACACGTTTTACGCTGTGTATGTGGTTACATGAGTAAGCACCGTCGATTGACGATTATTATCTAAATAACAGTAGATACCGGAAGCTATTAGGAGTGCAAGAAAATGATATTTTTTCCTTTTCTTCTCGGACACCATAATTGTAACCATGGTTCTAGTTGTGATATTTTATTAATTAATAGGATCAATTATTAGTCGTTTGACGAATTTATTTTAGCGTTTGGGAGGAGCTAGTACCAGGCATGTTATCCTTACCAAGTGTTCCGTCGAGTCACTTCCAATTGGAATGACTCGACGTTACCTTAGACGCTCGCCGTTCCAACTTTCAAATTCTTCAACGATTCTTATTTAGGGTTTCCGTTCGTTTAGAGTTTACGGTTTCGCTTCGAGTGGCACGATGATAGAATTAGATGAGACGTTTGTGATAGATTCCTTACCTTCCACATTTTTCAAGAAATCTGCTGAGTCGAGAGGATCTTTCTAGCGTAGATGCTTTATGCATTGTTGAACGCGAGCGTAACAGTTACCTCTTCCTCTCGGGTGACGCGAAGAATAAAATGCAGACTCGTATACACTTATACAAAAAGTAATTATAGCCACGTGAACACACTCGGAGCATATGATAAGAGAATACAGTTATTTTAATCGTTTCTAAATTTGTACATACGTTTCTTACTGTATCAGGGCAGGGCGAAATCGAAGTGATTTCTTAGTGTAGTGCCTAAAATGTTAATGAGATTGTGTCCAATATTAGAATTATTTATCTCTGAACGTAGTCCGAGTTCGCGTATAGGAAACTCGGTTCGAATTCGTTCGGGGAGCTGAAGGAAAATTGTACAGGAGGACCAGGATCCGGTTTTTCTATACGCGTACTCGCAATCACGAGAGAAGAGAGACGTTCGTCGAAGGACGATTAAATGGCCAGGGAAAACAAAGGAAAAGGGGGTAGCAGGAGAGAAAGAAAGAGTGGAAGAAATGGAATTATAGGAACATCCAGAGAGAGGATTAGATTTTTTGTGGACTTAAAATTTAATGTTCATCGCGTTGTATGGATAGTTCGTATATAAAATTCTATATATATACATTATCACTGTAAAACAAAAATAACTGACTTTTTGCGAGGAATTAGATAGGGCATAGTTATAAATATAGGAGAGAATAACATATTTTTGGAGTTACTAATAGAGAATCGATATTGTGTTGTGCTCCGCGGGTTATTAAAAGTTGTCTGTCTTCTTACGTTCTTTGGTATTCAAATCGTCGGATTGCTCATCAAGATCGGACCACATTTACTATTTCTAAAGAGAACCGAGATGAAAATCCAGCGTGTGTCATCGATGTATGTATTTCCTACGTGCGCGTATGTATGATATACAACATATTTGTCACAAGTTTCGGTACGTCGTTAGTTTTGCTCACGACCAACGCACGCTGACGTTTTGTCGCGCGCGTGTGGTCACCTATAACAGATAATATACCAGAGGAAACGCAATCGAGTCCGTAGTTTTTTTAATTCGTCCCGCAATCGAGACGAGAAATCATTTTTTTTCTTGTAGTGTAAATGAAGTCCGATTAGGTAAGCAAGAATTAAAAAAAGAAACAACAGATCCGCGCAATTAGGGTAAAATCGACGGTTCAACGTATTTGACTGTTCTTCGATGTTCTTAAATGTTCACTATTATACTATGGTAAAATGTCGCAAAATAATTATTACTAAACGGTAGTACTTGTATCATACGTTTTTCGTCGACTTACGCATAATGCTGTACGAGTAAGGAATAATCGTAGATAGTTTTTAACAAAAGGAACGGGGGAAAAAAAAAAGAAAATAAAAAATGGGGTGAAACGGGGAGGGATAAAACATTCGTGCAAACACATCACTGCTGCTTTTAGACGTCGTTATATCGTTAACAATTTTTCTCATCTTTAACGGGGTGACGGAGTTAGATCGATATTTGTAATTAGAGACACCTTGGTATACCTAGATGGATTAGTCCTTGCTGTGGAAGAAAGTAGACAAATTTCGTGGGTGTTTCGATGTTCGTACGTACTATTTCGAGGGTCAGAGTACTTTTCAAAGTTGAACGGTTTTCTTTTTGATTGCTTTCGTTCGCTTCGCATATCACTCGTTTATTCGATCGGTTCTTTCAAACGTCTATAGATCCGTCGTATCGCCGTTGGTCGCTTGTCCTTCGCCGTTCTCCATTCGCGCGAAAGTCTAATTTCCCGTTCGGGCATCGGTGACTGAAACGCCCAAGGAAGAAATAGAATAACGGATCGTAAACGAAAGTAAAAACAGGTCTATTTAAGCTTGTAACTTATAGAAATTTGTACGATCGTACGGATAAACCGAACGCCGTGTCACGGATAAACCTATCACTCTAATGACTATACTACATATTTATACTGAATACGAATGCTCGTCTTTTGTGTATTTTAATTGTACTGATAGTATGATAGTAATAGCGCCATTTACATTATCGGTAACAATCGCTCTAACGTCGTTATATGGTCACAATGTTTCGTTTCATCTATTTACGTACGGGCTACAACGTGCATATTCTATTTTCTAACGCGGTTCTTCGATCTTCACGTCCTCGATCCAAACTCGTTCGGACACTTAATCAGATTTTAATCTGTTCGTCATCATCCGTAGAACTTGTTCTTCGGACGAGCCAAAATTCATCAAGATGTATCTCATTCCTTCTTTCTCGCTCAATACTCGGAGCCTTTTTCCGCAAGGAATATTTTTAGCATTGCCTTATCGATTTGTATGATAATCACAGAAACACGAGTACACACACAAACACACACACACAGACATGGTTCACGTGTAGAGAGTATCAGTTGCTCGTGCCGTCGATTAATAATTACTGTTTGCCAAACCTCCTTATCCTATAGGTAAAGGATACAGCTGTATAAATATGTATAAATTATCGTCGCCACGAGCGCTCGAATTTATAATCGTCCTCCAATTGTATTTGAATCTAATCGTATCCAAATCCCATCACCTTCGAGAATTCGAGAAATACGAATATAAATTCGAGCGCGCGTGGACTCTTCGTACGACCATGCATTCAGCAACATAGCGACCCCAGTTGATCGCCGATCCGCGGCGAGTGTAAAGTAAAAATTTCTAAATGGCGGTATTTAGCGTAGTAAAAAATTAAGCAAACAAAATAACAGTAAAAAGTAAAAAAAGAGTGACAAGAACCGGAGATAAGGCGTTTTTTAAGCTTTCGCAGGAAGTCTGTCTCAAAGTATTAAAACTCTCAGGCTGCGCCGATTGTCTTTGCCGCGTGCGTATATCGTGTACGACGATCGCGAAGTCGTCGAGCAAGAACAAAAGTAAAGGGAATAACGAATGAATGAATGGTGTTCAACCGATATCCGGGCGAGAGAATCTTTCGAGTCCGTTCGTTCCTCAAAGGCTTGAACGGTCCGAAGAGATGCTTATACCTTTGAAAGCTGACGGAAGAAGAAGAACAGCTGTTCTTCTTCCTCGTATGATTTTCGAGAGAAAAAGTGATCGAACTTCGTAGCTCAACGCGTGGCCTGTTTAAAAACGATAGATGACCCAGCGTCTGAAGGCGGATGGATGTTTCTTTACTAGTAGAGCGTGCCTTATATATGTATATCGTGGGGATCCGCGCAGGATCCCTTTTCTCTGGATTTTGTTCTCGACCGGACTAATTGTTTCCCAGAAGCAAGTTGCGATCGTCCTCGCCCTCAAGCGATTCGAAGTGACGCTCCGGGTATCTCGCTGAACACCGCTTCTCTCTTTGTATGTACATAAATATGAATATATACCTATACCTAGAATACAAGTATATATACACGCATATACATATTGTGTATACGTATACATAATATATATATACGAGATTGTATGTAATGTAAAAGGCAGGAGGCAAGGGAGAACGAGAAATTGAGATGCTTGCGCGTGCGGCGAATTATTTCAGAGGCCGACCAGAGTACAAAGCGTAGGGTTTAGTTTGGCTCCGGAAATAGTTCGCGCACGAACACGGATTATGTGAGTCGAATGTCGTCGTCGAGTTGAACAGCTTTTACATTCACGCGAGAACCATTGTACACCGGCGATCCGAAATTTGAAGCGATAGAGCAAGAAGTAAAATCGTCACGGTCCCCGGAGGGTCGTCGAATCGATCGACCGCGAGGTCCTCTTCCCCATCCTTTGGCTTCTCTTGACAATAAAACGGTTCGTTGAAGAGAGCAATCGGAAACGAGCGACAACCGTGAATCAATCAGCAGACAAATCAAAAGTACCTACTTAGACCTTAAATTGCACCGCGTCGAATTTCGAAAGTTTCCTCTTATCACGGTCGATCGATCTCGCTCTGTAGCTGGACACCGCAACGGTGGACACGCAGAAATCGAGAATTGCTATATCGTCCGGACAGTCCTACTCTTACCGTTCTCTTGTTTTTCTCAATGGCGATAGTGATCGATCGATGACGACTTACTTAATAGAACGTTTCTCAATTTTTTTAAGCCGCGCACCGGCATTCGGGCGCATATATCCTGGGGGCAAGAAGTCTATTTGATATTTATATTTTAATATACACGGACCGATTATATTTAGTGTATTGTAATTATTAATGTTAATTGGAAACCTCAGAGGCTGCTCGTGCACCGATGCTACATGGAATTATTGACAAACTGAAAAGCAAGTGGACGGGAAGGGAGCGAAATCGGTGAGCGAAGCGTGTAGGTCGATGGACGAGCAGTCTGCGAAGGCAGGAACCACGATTTTCTGTATATTACTGTAGTATAATAATCAAACACTAAAGACTAATGCTTAAGGTGATCGACGTGAGCTTTGAAGCCGTCGTAACTGTAATCGAGGAATTAAGGTATACAAGCCAGACGCGCAAGCCAGACGCAAAGCAGACGGAAAACGAATAAAGGAAACATAATAATAATAAATGTGCGAATTAACAGAGAGAGGGTATGAGAGAGAGTGAGAGTGAGAGAGAGAGAGAGAGAGAGAGAAAGGTACACGCAGCGGTACAGGCGTTACTGTGTTTTTAAATGATTAATAAAATGCTGATGTCCGTGTATTCCGCTCGGACACACTTTTTCAACTAAGTTCACTGTCTTCTCACGATTATGTTCTTTCATCAAAATCGTTTCCTTCTTTTAATTGCGTCACTCTACGCGCCCGTCTATCCCCAAACCTTTCATTCGCATAATCATTTTCGACGATCGACATACGAAACGTGTCGTTCGTATTCTCGGCTCTCAGGAATTAAACGCATACCGGGTATCGCTGTCACCGGTTCCACTTCTTGCATTCGTTTAGCAGTTCTTACGCGTGCTATTACAACAGGAAGAGATCGAGAACCCAGTCGCGTTTCGAGCTGACACAGAGAAAAGAAAGCCGGGAAAAGAAACTGGACTCGCTTCGACAATACGTACCGAATCGGAGAGAGTTCGTTACGTGTGTAATTACGTACCTGTTATTACTTAAGCACACAATCAAACGTTTCGAGCAACAACAAAAAAAAAACAGAGATAGAAAGAAAAAGAAAATGGAACATTTGATCAAAAGAGCCTCGTGTTCGTGTAAAAAGTAGTTGAAGTCTCGTCAGGGGGGAGAAGCGGAGACGGAGGAAACGAAACGTCCCTTTTTATATCTTGCAAGTTCACTTGAACGAGTAATTCTAATCGGAGCGCGTGTCCGCGAAACTGTTCATTCTCCGCTCTGTGTGTAATTTTATCGCTTTTAGCGCACGTGTAGCTGCCGTAGATTTTTACTCTCGAGGCTCGCGCGTTAGACCGTTTAAAATTGTAATCGCATCGATCGAATAATCGTGTATTCTTCTATGTAAGTTTCTCGTAGCGTTCCGACCGAATGTGTTAGAGATTAAGAATAATTACAAACAGTCCTAAGTTAATTGACCAAAACGGACTAACGTTATCTTCCAGATAAAATAGCTGCGATAAGACGTTCGACATTTTCGGTGAGATTCGAGAGGCGTTAACGTGAACTCAATTCAATCGACTAAACTTTCATTCTCACGTCGTTGCTAAATCTTCAGGAACGAAACGATCACGATTGCATCGCGAATTACACTATTCCTCTCTTGAAAAAAAAAAAGAACATATCAACAGACTCCAAGGAAAACCGATTCTTCTCTCTGAACTTTAAACGATTTACTACAGATGCAATCTTAATTTCTCGAAAACGTACCGTTCACCTAGATAGTACAACAAGAAGTAGAAGTTCCTCGCAAACGCGCCGAGAGGCGTGAACGTTTTTTAATTAATCGAAACGCGAATCCTAAGTAGCGAAGTTAGAAAGGAGCGTAGTAAGCGTAACGAAACGAATTGAATAAATAGAAGAGCGATATGGTTACTAGATCTTCGAAAACGCAAGCTTTCTGTCTGTCACGATCGAGTATGATCATCGATCAAGAAGCGTAACGAGCTTTCGAGTATAACAGTCAGTATATTTGCAGCCTTGACGAAACGATTAAATGAGAACAGAAAAATTCTGATTAATTTGCAGTACGTGAAACGTTTTGAAAATCGGGAAGGAGGAAGGAAATTGGATTTGTTCGGTGTCGGTTAACGTTTTGTCCATCGGAAGTTCTCGAAGATGCTGACGAGTCAAGGTTTCAAAAAGGATTACGTACTATCTAAGCATGCGACTGAATAATCAATTTAAAATTATTGCAATATCGCGTAACACGGTAGAAAATAATAGCCGACGATTGTATAAAATATACTACATTAACAAAGCATTGTTATGTGAAGTATGCACACGTACAGGCATATATACGAGACTAAATAAATATATATGCGTATACTTGTAATAATTGATACGAACCAGGGTAAACACTACTATTATCTATGTGTAACGTTTAAAAAGCGCCACGTCGCGCTTCCGTATGTTTCTGTAACAAATAGTAATGCCTGTTTGCACTCACGAAATAGGAGAGGAAAAATGTATATTGTACAATTATTATTATTACTATTGGTAACGAGATACAGACGCCCTGCGATGCATCTTTATTGTAAATAAAACCGTCGTGATCGGTGAAAACCGTTTACGTTTCGCAATTCGTACGGCACACGTCCTTTGCGTGCAAACGCGTTGAGAACTTCCGCGTTATCCGGATTTCACCGTCCGATTTTCCACGGCCGATGCGACGCTCATTTTCTACGACACGAGGTTGGTCACGTGTATAATCTAGCGGTATAAAAAATCAGTAGAAATAAAAATAAGTGTCGTAAGAAATGAGCACCGTGCCAGTACGCAGCTAGTTCTTAACCGGACGGCGAAATCCGAACAGCGGAGAGGCTCAGAGACTTCGAGCAACGTTGCGTGTTGGAATGGAAGAAAGAAAGGAAGGAAACGCAAGCAAACTAAAAGTATAAAAGTAGACTGTCGTAGATTTATTACTCGTTATTATCGCTCCTGCCTATTCGCAATCTTTGACTGTAAAACACACGTTGGACCAAGTCGTTGTGAGCTCCCTAAACTGTAGAATATCGTTGCCGACGATTTCGTGATCGTCGAAACGCTTTACTCGATTTTAAAGCGAATCGAACAGAAATTCTGGTTCCCTGTATCGCCGATATCAATTCTGCGAGATCCGATAAAAATTATTTATCGTCCCGCAGCGTCGGAAAGTAAAGTGTTCATCGTAATCCATTTGTATCATTCTCTGAAAGCATGGATAATTTTTTTTCTCGAAAGGGACGTATCTCTTGTCCCAATGAAACAGTCTTTCGCAAAGAGAACGATTTATTCATGGGTTTCTAATTGATTTTTATTAATCAGATGTACAGAAGGTCGGACGAAGAATACGAGAGACCACAAGTTCTGCTCGAGTGACATTTTTGTATCTTTTACACGCGACGCTCACATCGACAAGGCTTGCGAAACAAGAAGACTTCGTAGATCTCGAGACGTTCGTTAAATTTAAACCGTGTTGTCTTCTTGGGAATCGCTTCACGGATTTTTCACGAGAATTAATATATACCTAGGCATCGTGTTTGGCACTTTTTCAACCTGTTTCGACGACATGAAGGGACACTCTTCTTAACTCGCAATTAGATTGGAAACGGTTTCGTAGAGAAAATTTGAACGTATAGCAAAAGTAGCTTGTCAACGCACTCGTTTTTTCTTTCCGGTAATCACAAGGAAAAAAAGACTAAAAAAAAACATCCATAGAAAAGCGATGGTAATCAAATTGGATACTTATTCGTCGATAACGTTCAATGTCGCATCGTTTGTGTAATAATAATAATAATAATAATAATAATAATAATGTTATACCGCAAGCAAATTATTAATAACAAGGTATATTATTACTGATAGATCGATTGATAATAACGTAACGATATTACTACAAAGTGAATGTTGCCTTTTGTCACATTGGTTAATTATAAACGAGAAATAACGGAGAGAAGGGAAAATGAATGAATCACGTACACGATTGTATTAACGACGACTAATAACAATTACTATCTATTGTATTACAAGTACTAATTACTGTGTACAACATGGAGGTTCGTATGATTGTAAAAATGATATTGTGTTGCGTTGATATGTACCGCGTCCCTAAACTGAACAGAGGGAAGCTGTGGAAATAAATCAACCAGACACTTCGTTGGCCTTCTATATTGCCCTGACACACAGGAACATATTATATATACTTGATACGAGTCAACTGAAATGTTTTTTAATAAACACTAGTGCCACAAACGACACAAATTTCGGTTATTTTCATTTATTTTTTCGTTTCACAGGTATAGTATAAATACTACATCTACATCGTACGAAGACGGAATTTATGTTCAAGGGACGCGTGCCACTTGACTCTCGAACGATCGATGTTTACTGGAATAAGATAAGTTTTAATATGCAGATGCAGATCCCAAAATCCACACGTTGCGTCAACCAGCGGAAACACTGTTTGAAACGTTATTCACGATGCCCTGCGCGTGTACGGTCGGTGCAACGTGTTGCGCGAGATCGATAGCTTCCAATGGCACATTGTGAAAAAAATAATGCATAAATCCTGCCGCCAGCAGGAGGTGCATCCCAAGAATCGCTACCATGTATATTATTTTATATTTTCCTGAAAATCGGTACGTTCAGATTTCCTTCCGGAAGAATTCGACTGTCTATATGTAAAACGTAATACCGGCTATAATGGGCAGTAGAGATCGCAACAGTACTCCACCAGACAAGAAAGTTGATATTACGACTAAACACCATTGTATCCACGCAATTTGTATTGTCAGTAGAAAGGCTATTGGAATATAGATAGCTAAAGAGTAACCGTAAAGGCACAACAGCTCCAAAATACTGGGCGCTGCGTAAGACTAGATTAAAAAAACAATCTTTCGCTAATAATCATATTATATGGAGTAGTGAGAAAAAAATAAGGAATAATATCATACGTCGATTAATTCCTCATCTGTGTTTCTTGTGCTGTTGGTCCATTTCAATATACCCCATAACAAGAGTGGTAGTAACCATGCGTACAAGAATATACAAGTGGCAGCATAGGATACAAGATGGAACTCGTACCTCCAGTGATATTTGCTCACGTTAACTGTCTGCAAATAATTAGCCAGGTTTCCGCTGATGGCTATAGCGAATATTAGAGTAACGCAAATCCAGAACGGACCATAAAGATCTGGATTCGGTCTGATGTGTGATATCAAGTAATTCTCTGTCCCATGTGGTACCATGGATCTTTTAATTCTTTCCACCACGTCTTTTGTATTAACATTGAAGTACTTTTGATAATACTCTATCGTCCAGAAGCTGTGCGATGATGTGGCTGGAAGATAGATATGAATATAAATGAATACGTAGGCTAGAATATGTGCATCTGCTATATGAATGACAAGGAGTCTTTTAAAGCTTAATTAGTAAAGGACGAACCTTCATTTTTATCAGGCATTCCTTCGAGGTCGTCGATGATGCCGATTCCCGTTGGATCATTTGGTAGGTTACTGAAACCTTGGTGCGTGGAAGTATTTACGTTCAATTGTGCCTGGTTACTATTACCCTCGTGGTTTATCGAGGGAAAATCTTGAAACGAAATGAACTGCGTATCATTCGTCCTCGTTTGATTCCCATCCATGTCTGATTATTTCGCAGTCTTTGCTGTCCGTTTGACAAATACGCGGCGCACGAACCGACCGCACGATGTGTCAAATATGGAATAAACATAGACTGCCATCGGATGTACCATTGCCATGTTTCAACGTTCGGTACGTCGACGGTTACCTACTGTGGAAACAGCTTCGTCTACAAGAGCGGCACGGTAACTATGAGGAGCGCGATCGATCCGTGATGGCAGATGACAGCAGTGTGGGAATTAACCGCGCCGCGTCGGTGCTCGACTCGGTGCGTCGGCCGATACAAATTGTCAGTACGTGCACGGAGATAAGGTCATTCGGTCTGCTGCAGCGGAACGCGGAGTCGCAAGCTGTGCACACGACGTCGGGTCTAAATTTCTCGGGATTGTCGTGCAAGTGAAACGAAATAATCGACACGGGAATTGTCCCGACGGGCAAATGCCCGTAATGCCTACGTAAATACGCAGGACGTAGTAACGTGTCAGGATGTGCTGTGGCGAATCCAGTGTTCCAAGAGAGATCCGCCGATTGAAACGCGCAGCCACGCTATAACCCGTTATTTTTCCTATCAAAAAGAGGCACGCGAAAGTACACCTCGCTTTCTTCGTCTCGGTACGCTCCTACGCTCGTGTTGTCAACAATTTGCAAAATAATTTGTGGGGGATAGCTGCGTGCCATCCCTCGTGCTTCCACGAGCATTAACCAAGGCCACGTGGACCACGTCGGGAGCCTAAAAAAATGTAAGTGACTGACGATTTGTCCTGTCATTACTCAGCGTTTTACTCTTTCGCGGTTCGTTTCGCTTAACGGTGTTCTGTTATCGTTATACTACAGATGGTCTTTACCAGGGTCATTGAGCGTCATCCTTATGATCCCTACGGGAAAGCGCGTCTCATTTCTCGAGATAAAAGTCTTTGAAATTTTGATGTCTCGTTAACGGAGTAAATCCCTCCGACATGACTTTAATAAGTCAACGATAGGTTTCACGACTGATAGGGTACAACATCCGAGACGTCCGGGTGAATCTTTTTATCTCAGCTTCTGAAAATCTCAGCTGACGGAGTGTCAACACACTTTTACTGCGATTGTTTCTCTCAAACCTTTACTTAATTATTACGAGAAAGTTTCACTCGAACACGGAAGTCCGCGCCGTTCTAGCGAAACGGTAACGAGAGCGGCTGGAAAAGCGAGACCATTTAGTGCGGTCTCGATGAAGGAAATCTTCGAGATATACATTCATCATAACTGAACAATTGTTTGTCAGTTATTTCTGTAAAATTCATTATACACTTGTTAGAAAATTAAACGTTTTTAGACCTATCAGAGGTACGTACTATATTTAAGCTTCACGCGCTAACAATGGGTACAGAATGCGTGTCCTGTGAGCTCCGGCCATCCGCATGCTTCTTAGCATTGTCGAACGGGTCGAAGGTTAGCATCGGGATTCGTTTTTTTCCCTTCCAACGTAACCGACGGTCTCGGTTTCCGACTACGAAACCGGTTACACGCGCTCCGAGTATCGGGTAGTCTCCTAGACATGAAAAAAAGAAATAAGTTTCCGTGCGCGCTGGTCCCAGGTTCATAATGCAACAGACCGGTCGTATAAGTAGGATACATGTTTAAATTGCGCAATTTTTCGAATCGTGGAGCATCGAACGATTCACCTCGAATCGAGTTGACCGTAAGTAGTCGTACGCGCGAGAGAGCGCGAGAACATTACTGGCGTTGCTTTCGCGTTCACAAAATAGATGTGCACTGCGATAGAATTAAAATAAACCTGTTCGATGTTCGCCTGCCTATACTGGTTAAAAAGAGAAGTGAGTGCGTCGAGATCGGTCGACAAGGCTATTCGTCTAGATGGAAAATTGCTTTCGGCCCGCTCTACTTCGACGTACGGGAGGGGGGAATAACGCGTGAGAAATATTGAATTTTAAGGGAACGGTAGCACGGTTGGACGTCCATGAATCACGATCTGAAACTAATCGACTGACGTGACAGATACCAGACTCATTATTGACGTTTTACCTTGGTCTACGTATGTTGTTTATCGCTCGCACGTTATTTACAACACTTATTATACAGAACGTATTTTTCTTATCAATCTTGCAACCGTTTCCTATTGTGACTGTTTTAATGCAGAACTTTCAGATTACCGCTCGGGCTCTAATGACAGTCGAGCATTCAGTTGCGAATAGTTATGAAACGTATGCCTAGATTATAGTCTTTACTCGTTATTCATACACGAATGACAATGTTTGTTCAGTAAGTCGTGTCGCTGTCAACTTGGTGGCTGTTGTCAACCGAAAGAAACAGCAGTTGCGAAAATCGTTATCCTTCGCGCAACAATTATGCGCGATAATAACTCTTTAACGATGGTAACTTGAAACGTGAGCTATACTCCCCGTTTAGGATGCGTCGATATTCGCTTGACCCAATTCCATCCCTCAGCTTTTCTATACCCTTGATATTGTCCGTTTACATTAGATCATGGGATTTACGTCAACCCGATAGCTGTTGTCGACCACCAACAGAATCCTTTGCCCGGTTCGCGTGTACGCGCCCTGTGACCCTCAATGGACAATTTCATATCCCTCTGTATTTGCCGTCCCAATTAATTCTACCATCGAACAATTATATTGTCACGTTCCAACACGAGTAATACCTATGTTATTAAAAATGAAATTCTATTCTATCCATTAAAACCAAAAATATCATCGATTTTAGAAAGATGTATATGACTAGCATTTAAGGATGTATTGGCTGTACAGTCAATCTCAAAAAAGAATTCTAATTAAAAAGAAATCAGACGTCGGAAGAACAATGCTAATAATACATAGCTACGTGCTAAAAAGTATAGGATGTTTTTTTTTTAAATGTAATTAGTCATAATTAAAATATTTTATTGTGTATTTAAATATAATATATGAGTCATAAATAAATTGTTTTTAATGATCTTATAAGCATCCGTAGTAATACTCATTACCTTTCCATATTAATATTAATCATATTAACTTTCAAAATGCGTTTGTACGAATTGCACTCGTTGCAATTGTGCACGTCGATGAAAGTTATCTAAAGCAAATAAGATCATCATAATTTCGCCTGGTATCACTCCCTTCACGCGTAACTAACCGGTATTCACGTTGGGTATCGACGAGGATGTTCACATCGTGTTGTTTGTCTCTCGAACAGTGTACTAATGGAAGCACGTTGAATTTATCGAATCATTTAATCTGGTTTGTCCTAATTAACTCGGGAAGTTGTTTAGCGAGCATGTGCATGCGACAGACGTGTGTCACTCCAACGGTTCCTCGTTAAACATGCGACCGCTTCGAGTTCGGAAAACATCGTATTAGAAGAACTAACTGTTTGAGGTGAATTTATCGTTTCCTAAACCGAGTCATACGAGCGATAAGAGCGTTTCAGTGTTTGACTCACCTTCTGTGTTCGCATGCTCGAACGTAAGGAATTGTGCGGGTGCCAAGAGAAAGGCACACGAGCTCGCCGGCTCTCGTATAAAATTCACAAGCGAAAAATCGACCGATAAATTGTCAACGTCGCTTGGACATGAATTCTACGAACGGACTGATAAAGGAAGTTTCTTGTCTGATACCTTGTTGCCATGCGCGCACACTTGTAGCTTCTCGTAATCAGGCTGAACATTTTTTTATTTTTCTTCAAGTAATGTTAACTCATGCGAATGTACGTAGAAGGTCGATGGACTCGAAGTCGTGACTCTGAGGCGAAGGTCGCTGGGTCTTACGAATGAATACGATACTATTGGATTATTCGGCGTAAGGTGATTTGTTTAGCGTTTCGCAATATTTTGTCAAATCTGCGGAAGCACCGTCGGCGACTTTAATCCATCGGTCTGAGGGTATCGGTTTCCTCGAAAAACCCTCCTCTCCCCTTTCTCTTTCTATCTTTGCACAATCTTATTAATAGCCTATCTGTGTCGGGCAAGTACAAGTGCACCCATGATCATCAGTGAATGGAGTTGGAAACGCGTTGCGTTACTTCCTGCATATCGTTCAAAACGTCGCTGGCTTTCTTCTGCGAATAGTTCTCTATAAATAGTCCTGAGAGAACGATCAATATTTTCGATTTTGGCAAAAGAACATCTGAAACGAAATTATTGATTTCACACTCCTCCGATACATCGTCCGACGCCGATGTGTTTTCTCTACTATAATTTTTTTCAGTTTATCTTCAATTTGCTCGACGTTCTATTCGCGTCTGTTAAATAAACAGCACCCGCTGTTATCATTTAAGTACCGTTCAATTTTCACTGAAAGGTAGTTGTTGTATCGTATCGTGAGCAAAACTTGAGTGGCATTTCCTCGAGTCAATTACATCCAGCGGCCGTTCCGTTAGTTCTCTTCATGAGAAATACTACCTGTCGGCAGATGTGCCAGTATGTCCGAAGCCGATGCGCCAGAAGCAGCGAGCGAGATCGACAGGCAGGCGTCGGTTTACGTGTTTCCTGGATCGGGTCGACAGCACTATCCCACTTCGGCACCGGCACAGCCAGCTACTTTCGCAGTCGATGTCGCCTCCACGACTACCGTTTCATCGTCCGCACCATCGAGCGCCGTCGCGAAGAACAACAGCGAGAACGACGACGAGTCCGCAGCGCGAACCCGAAGAAGGCCGTGCTCGAGGACCCACGCAAGGTCGGCCAGTCACGGCGGCGTGTTGGTGGAATGTCTGACGAACACGGGATTCCAGCAACACGGTTCCCATCTGGGGCCCCTGTCCACGATCAGCGGCTCGAGGCCCTCGGCCCTCAAGAAGCCTGGCCACCAGAGAGCCTTCAGTCAAGGCCAGGTGGTCGATGTTCAAGGACACGCCGTCACGGGGCACAGCCGCGTCGGCTCCAGGACAGACTTCATCCTACCGCCGGGCCACAGGGAGGACTCGAGGCCGCCCACCGCTGGGAAAGTGCCCTCGTTTCGAGGCCACTCGCGCCAAGCGTCCAGGTAGACATATTCATATATACTTCACGTCTTTCGGCTTTACAATTTCCCGTATAACTAAATCTATATTCCATAATATAACTGAATCTACATTACGCGTTTCTCTTCCTCTCTTCATCTCACGTATCTCCCTCTCTCACGCCGCCGTCCACTCATCTTCCGCTGCTCTCATACTACGTTTAATCTTGATTCATTTACATCTCTAACTATACCCATATTCGTGCTCCTTTTGCGTAATCATTCTCTTTCCGCGTTGATCGTAGATCGGAGTCGATATACACGATAAGACGTAGCGCGGAACCTCCCTGGTGGAGGAAAGTCTGGGCCCGGTGCTTCGGACCCATACCAGAGGAACCTCGTTTAAGGACAATAGTACCGAATCATTTAGTGCCGCCGAAAACGCCGCCGAGTCAGCATCCCAACGGCAAGAGAGTGAACAATAGGTAAGCTCCCTCGTACGTTGGCTCGTTCAATGTTATGTAATACTCGTCTCGGTTCTTGAACGGGGCCCGAGACGAGAGTGAAATGCGTTTGGCACCGTGCGCCGGTTCGATTCCGGTTTATTCGGTATGCTTTCAGAGTACGCACAACAAAGTACACCATACTGAGCTTCCTACCTCGCAATCTCCTCGAACAATTTCGCCGCGTGGCCAATATATATTTTATATTTATCGTTCTACTTAATTGGGTGCCAGCCATAAACGCCTTCGGCAAGGAGGTCGCGATGATACCGGTGATGTTCGTGCTGGGTGTGACAGCGCTGAAAGATTACTTCGAGGACCGGCGAAGGCTCGCCAGCGATCGTCGCGTCAATAACTTCACCTGTCGCGTTTACGTCGGGTAAGTAATCCTCTCTAATGGGTTTTAACGAATGCGCTCCACCCCTAATTCTTATTCGACTCTTCTGTTTCCGTGTGTAATAAGCGATTCGACAGGTACTTCGTAATGCCACAGATTCCTAATAGTTTAATAAATAAATGATCAATATTCGAGGTATGAAGTAAGGAAGAAAAAATGTTTCTATAAAAAAAGAACGAATTTCGTTCGCTGTACCCTGCGGCTAGCCGGAACGTCAGCACCATATGGGTTACTGATTGACCGCGCGCGATGTTCACCTGCCGCATCAGCATGAACTCGCTTCGCAATTTATTAATATCTCCGCGGACTATTGAGCGGGTACGAAAACGACCGAACATACAAATGTGGGTCAGGTCTAGGTTACGTTATGTGCCTGTGTGCTATCCGCTAAATGACTATGCTTGGTAATATTGAAAAAGAAATCATATGGATCGTTGATTAAGCGTGAGATTGATTCCGTGCTACATACCGCACAAATACCAATCGCGAATCGAATTGTCCGAATAAACAGAATTCACGGCTCGATGGAAATAAATTAAGATCCGCTTTAGTATGCGCATCCGACGTTCCGATTGGGAAGTTTTTATACAAAACAGACGTGATCGTTCTGGGAAATAAGTCGCCGCGAGGCATTCAGGTTTCATACTTATTTTCAGTTCGGAACGCTTGTTTGATCGCAGAATTTCAATGGATCGGCTTTGATCGCCGTTCGACGGCATCTAGGTCGGTCGAACATAGAAAAGAAAGTGTTCTCTCTTTATCCTTTCGCGGAAGAGAACTCTAGAGCTTGCCACGAGCCTATGCCTAGGACTTTAATTTCACTCTGTGTTTGCTTCGATGTACCTTGAGTGGCTCCGCGATCGATTCCTTTAGCGTTCGTCGTGTTCGACGACGTCGTTTAGCCGAAACACTTGAAACCGTCAAAGACGACGGCCGACAAACTCTTCGGTTTGAGGCCACGGCTGCTGCGTTCCGTTTCTTTCCATGTTTGGTCATCATTATTGCAACTGCATAAATGTAATTTTATCGCTATAAGGGAGCCCTGTTTGTACATCGTTCCCAGCCTCGTACTAAAAAAGACTTTCAAGGTATTTCTGCCGTGATATAGGCGCGTGCCAAGAGATTCCGTAGCGGCATCCGGCTTTAATAAGCGGAATTAAAATTCTCCTAAGATAGAAGTGCTTTCGATCAATTAGCCACCGCGGCCTGTAGCGAATTTTTAAACACGTCGTTGTCGATCTCACGACCATCCGGTCTGTGTCCATGTGTTCTTTTTGTGCCTGGTATTTCGCTTCACTGCAGAGTCTAATTTTTCTCGTCGGAAAGGACGTCCGATTCAACGCAGCTTTTAGCAACATGAAGCAGACCGCGATTTAGGCCTCCACGATTGAATCGATGATAAGCACCGGCGTACGTCGAACGTTTCGCTTTGATCGCGATTCTTCTCATGTACCCCGAGCCCGATATCGACATTCATGTCCAACTTACCCCGTTGCCGATCGTTCAATAGACCGTATCGTGACAGAGCAGTCTTCCCTCGATACAAAATTAGACGTGAAAGTCGTACGATTTTCCAGGCGACGCGTGACTCATGAAATTAACCAGGAAAGATTTCGTTTTTTCCCTCTCGCGAAGGTCGCTCGTGTTACTTCCCTAATTGTCGAGTGAACGAAACGCGATTACCTATTGCCGTAACTCCGATTGAAACGGGGAAAACGGCGAAGCTCTGCACCATCTGCTGCGAGGCAGTACAGACAAGCGTTATGTGCAAGTGTATAAGTATGATTGCGGCACGTCATTTATAATGTAACTCAATTCAGCGCGGCTTACGACGATCGATGCGGAACGATTCCGGCACACAACGGAGTCATTTGTAAAATAATACAAGTTGTCTGACCTTGCTCCTCGTCATGCCGCCCCGCCAATTTTCTCCATGAGACGTACGACTCGTCGATGCCAAGGGAAAACAACATAACTCGCCAAACTGATTTATTAACACACTGGCCACGCGTTCAAACAAAACCTTCTCATCGCCTCGATGTTCTACACAATTATTCTTTTTTTTATTCTCATGTCCTGGATATCGCAACGTCGTCATTGTTGATACGTCATTTAATTGCTGAATCAATAATTGCCGCGTCTGTTTCATGGAGCTCGACAACGTTCGACACAGTTGATCGAGGATAGATTACGGCTACCGGCGTCCTAATTACCATTCATGCATATTTTCCTTGCGCAAAGACAGTCCTCCATTTTTTATACTGCATGAACATTATAAAGAAATCACGGGCAAAGTAGATATGCGCGATCTATAGAAATATTCTCTGACGTTGTGTTAGTACAAATGTACTTACAGTATTTCATTGTCATCCGCCGGATAATAATGATTACAGTTGATGCCGTGTTGTAGATAAATGGGTTTACGGTTGTCGTTTGAATATAGATCGCAAGTGCTTATCTCTATCTCATTGATTACGCCCATCATGCGTCACCGTCTCGATACACCTATCGATTCTTTTTTTTTTTTTTCTTCACTTCGCGTATGCCAAACAATTACGCCAGTTGGAACAGAAACAACAGGGAGGAGAGAAATTTGAGATAACGCTTTGAAGGATGTTCAAGGATGCTTGATATCCCGATGCCAGCTTTTATCGAGATTGACCCGTGTACACCACTCAGCATATTAATCAAAGAGAAGCAATAACGCTGTGACAATTGTCGTAATTAGTTTTATTACAATATAAAAAAAGAAGAATAATATAATGCTTTAGTATAGTTCTTTGTTAATATGCAGTTGGACTTTATAGAAGTAGAATAGAGCAGCGATGTATCTTCGATCCTGATATCGACAAGACTGATCCGAGTCAAGATATCGATCTCATAAACATCCGTCGGATATCTCTGTATATACGTCCGTACTTTGTAGCGTCAAGTCTAGATAAGTTGTAAAAATTAATCACACAATCTAATAAAAATTATTATCGACGATAACAACTGCGCTCAATGTTTTTTAATTTCAATCTCAACGTGTAATAAAGCTTATATCTCGTGGACGATAACAGATATACCGAGAGGAAGTTAACTGGGGGGGCTGACACGCGTTTTCGCGAAGCGCAAGGGAAAGGAGGTCGAGGGAAAATCGCAGAGTGCATAGGCCGCGAGCTTCCTTCAGGGAGCTCGTTGTTTCCCAATATAAATGAACGTCTCTGCTCCGTTATTTCGATCAGAGTTCGATCCAAGACGCGGTAATTAACCAATCATCATTCAGAAATTTTAGACAAATATAATTATCAGAGACTGAGGTCTACTCACTGTCGTATTTTTACGTAATTATATACGTTAATGAATAGGAATTGTGGTATGAACAAAAACTGAATCTATTTAATTTATCTCAATTGATTACAGTAATTGGCGTGATAAATTATGAAGTTTCAAGCACGTAATAAATCGTGCAACGAATCAAGACTAGCTCCAATGAAATTATACGATTGAAAGAACATGAACCATATTCTCACACTCAGTAATATTCCTAGAATATCTCACTTGGTTATTTGTTCTACAATATCCGAGATTTATGAACGCATGCACATAGATTGAAAAACGCGTTCATCGAAGATAAGCACGTATGCATTTGCATTCGCTCCGCCTACGTATCACGTTCATTTTCTAGTTAAATCACTGGATTACGACCGGTGAATCTCGGCACAGAAATGCGAGCAACGATCGTCGAAAGATCTCTGTCACCTCTGAACGGTCAAAAATAGCCAACGACGTTGAAACATTAATGCATCTCGCTGAGAGTAGACGACTGTGACCTTGGAACGGTCTAGAATCTTTCCCGACGATCGATTCGATTGGCGATAACTGTTAATCGAGACTTATTAAGCGAAGGCGGCGGAGGTGAACAATCACCGTCCTCTTTCTTTCGCGGGCAGCGCGCGTGCGGCCTCTGCCTACTCAATAGCACGCGGTTGATTTCACGCACGTGTTGACCTTCTTTACGCTCCCATTTAATTTTGTTCGACGATCGGGGAGGACAGTTAGCGGGGCTGAGATCCACGCAATGTCAAGAGCGCGCAGACCTTCGCCACGAGTTCCAACCTCCGGATTAATACGCCTTGACTGGTTTCGAGGTCTTCACCGTCCGTACCGTGTGAATGTCGGTCACGAGCCCTCATCGTGTATCTCTTACCAGATAATCGTGACGCGATTCCAATCCGCGGCCTTCCACTCGAGCAATCCTTTAGCTGCCTTTGTGTACGTACAAAGCGACTCTCCAGATTCGTTCAAGTATCGATAAACAAGTGTTCTTAGCACAGTTATATCGCGTTTATAAAGTTACAAGAGTCTCCGTATTGAAGAATCGCGAATTTCTTCCCAAAATTGATTGCTTGTATTATTTGTTAAGGTGGACTTAATTTATTCGCGTTCAACAAACAATGCATTTGCATGGACGTAGTCGCGTTAATTACAGAAATCGCTTTACAAATGACTAATTCGTTTTAGTCAGCTGATAAGAGCGTTGCGTCAAGCACGTGGTACCAAGGCGAGATCGATATTACCTGTCGGCTACGTCGTGGGCGTCGGGCGACGCGGTTTTTCGAAATAACGTGCACTCGTAAGGTCTCCTGTTCTGATGCGTACGCCTGTACCCACGTATGTAGGTACGCAGTCGCAATACGCGTCGACAGGACAGTAGGTGCAAGGATATCGTGCTCGTTGCAATCGAAGACGCCGAGAGAATCAAATAAAACGACGGAGGAAGGCATAGCAATAAAACCGGTTGCCGTGTCCCTCGAGCTGTTTTCCTCGTTCCTTTCCTGGTTAAGAGAGGACTCGATTCTCAGCGACAATGAAACCCATCGAACGTTCCGCGTCTCTGTTACTTATTTCCTGTCAGAACGTGCCTCATAAAATTTTGCAATGGTTCCACAATTCATCTTTCTTTTTCAAATTCCTCGATTGTTCGTAGTCGAGTATGAAAAGATCGGAGCGTAATAACGGCGTTCGTTTTACAACCTAAACTAAATAGCGAGTTATCGAGGGAATGAGGAAGTAATAAGTGGGAAAGGAGCGTGTCGATGATTGATCCTTCGAGACATGTTCGTGCATTAAACAGTCGCTGATGTCACAATTACATCATTTAAAAACATGTATGTAATCGGTATCGTGTCACAGTTATACGCGCCCGCATAAGTACCGCACTCACGGTGACTCGTGTTTCGCTACCAGGATCGGCTCTGATGAATCGACCAATCAAACCGTGAACACCGGGGTGTTTCGGTTGACCTAAATACTTGTCTTAATTCAGAACTTCGAGGTGACCGTTTGAGAAATTCTCTCACTCCTCGCACTTTGTTCCGGACAGTGTCTCATTGTCCTTTGGTAAAAATAATTTTTTTCTCTGAATTCAAAAATTAGATATGCGTAAGGACGTGCAAAAGTGTACATCATTATTTTTTAATAGTAAGAGAAATTTGAATCCAGATTTCATTTTTAAATGTTTTTTTTTTTCTGCTTGGAAATTCGCCGTATACTGATGGGATATAAAAGAAATTTCATTGGCACGTAGGTGAAAATACCCGTGACCTCATCCAATTTATTACACCAATTCTTATCTCCGCAAATATACCAGCCGACGTAAAACTGTAATAAACGTGTAGTTTACAGTTTCTTGTGAAAAGAAACGTCAATCCTCTTTCACCGTATTTAATTCTCTTGTACTGCGAACTTGAAGAATTGTATACCCTTTCAGGTACTTTCATCCAACCTCGTTTTATAGACGATCATACTTGGAGATTGTAGTTAAAAGTATTTATTACAGTGTAAACGTCATAAGCGAGGTAAGACACGTACACAAGAAAAATGAGTAAGAAGTTCTTAAACTACGACCACGTATTATCCACATGTATATACTTATAATAAAGACGCGTTGCATAAAAGAATTTCTAAGGCTACCTATTTAGCTAGGTCGCTGGCGTCATCGCGGCTGATTTATCAGCATTTCGTTATCGTTGAAATTCTAGTAGAGATGCAAAACATGCTGGTTGAAAGAGAAGTTAATTACAAGTAGAGCACTTCGCTCGGCTTAGACTGCTTAGGCTCGGAGCATGTCTCGCAAGGGTGGGACGATTAACAGTCACGTCGCGCACGTGTTGAACACCGTAAGGATTTCACGTTTAAAATGATAATAAACCAACGCGTTGATGTTTGCGAAGTTTAAAAATTGGTATCCTTGAACGAAGCGATGATGCAATATTTGCTAGTCGGTATTCTACGCGACGCACAGTATAGAATAAAACGGGAAGAATTCGATGATTACCATTCGGATTTCTCAAAGTTGTCTAGTGAAAAGAGGCACCGGTTTAACGGTCGAACACTCATGCTACGATGAAAGGAAAATTAACATGACGAGTTCTCTCTTATCGTTTCCGTTATGTGAATCATTCGCATTCGTAGATTTTTCCTTCGTGTATACGAATTATTTCTAACGTCTTCGTTTCATTCACTGATTGAAGAAAGTGTATTAGGGACAATAATTATTAATAAGGTCATTTTGAGATGGCAGGAGACGTGTGATCAATTGAAATAACTAAAACAGAGAATCTTAATTAATCTGCAAAAGGCTATGCAGATCAAGGATCCTCCTCATTGCGAGCAAATTGCTCGAATGACCTTGAATATAATCTAGGCCAGATTTGATCGATTTAAATGTACGGGTGACTGGCAGAAAGGAAAAAACCTGATTGTACCTTAAAATGAGCTTCATATTTCCATTCATGGCAAACTTATTCCAATAGTGACTCGAATATGAATGTGGCTCTGTTTTACGTACAGCCTTTGATACAATAGACTCGGCCATGGTATTGTTAACTTCATACCAGTTCGCGGTAACGATCGACCTTGACGGGCAATCAGACCGAATTAGTGCTTTATGAATCTGGAAATATGATAGTTCTCCACGTGTTCTAAAATATTGAAAGCACATTCCTCGGGCACGAATTTAAAACTGGAAATCGATATCACCGATATAGAACGTGTATAAAAGAAAACCTGTTATTCCATTCAATTTCATCAATGAATCTATCTCATTTTTCGCAGTCGCACTAGTTCTCGATGTATCTCAACTAGAATGCTTTGAACTGTAATGACCGTTAATGAAGTATAAGAATCGTCTGATGATTGCAAGGCTTCGATCATCGTAAAATCCGAGCTGCTCGTTTTTGCATCGACGTCAGGAATAAAAATAGCTCGAGCGAATCCGAAGCATTTCTCGGCTGTTTTCAATCGTTTTTCGAAAATTGATTATTTGAGTAAAAGATGCGTCATGCGGAAAACACGTTTCGTGATTGCAGCGAAGTCGATAGGTATGCGAAAGTAGCGTGGAAAGACGTGAAGGTCGGTGACCTGGTGCACCTCTCGAATAACGAACTCGTGCCGGCCGACGTGCTGCTGCTGAGAAGCAGCGATCCTCAGGGTGTAGCTTATATCGACACGTGCAACCTCGACGGGGAGACTAATCTAAAGGAACGGCAAGTCGTCAGAGGATTCGTCGATCTCCAGGACACGTTCCAACCAGCCAAGTTTCGATCAGTGATCGAGGTCGACCAACCGAGCACCAGGATATATAGGTAAGCAGCTGATCGAGGACGATTTTCAATCGAGATCGGCGTAAGTTGAACGCGGAAATTGCAGGTTTCACGGAGCCGTCGTTCATCCGAACGGCCGCAGAGTACCTGTCTCTACTGAGAATCTTCTGCTCAGGCAATGCTTGTTAAAAAATACCGATTTCGTGGAGGGTATCGTGATATACGCTGGTCACGAAACGAAAGCGATGCTCAATAACGGCGGACCTAGGTACAAGGTAAAGATTCAGTGATCTTTAAACATTCGAGGGGTGCAACGGAGCGAAGTTTTAAGCAGAATTATTATTAACTGTTCAGCGTTCGCGACTGGAAAAACGAATGAACAGCGACGTTATATGGTGCGTGGCAATTTTAGTGGTGCTGTGCGTGATAGGCGCCACCGGGTGTAGACTCTGGCTCTCCGAGTTTACCGGTTTGACGTTCGTTCCGTTCATACCGGTCCTTCAGGACCCAAACTACGAGAGCATGTTGACGTTCTGGACGTTCGTGATAATCCTGCAAGTGATGATACCGCTGAGCCTGTACGTCACCATCGAAATGGCGAAAGTGGGCCAGATTTATCACATCGGACACGACGTCGCTCTATATGACGCGGAGACGGGACGTTCGGCTGAATGCCGCGCGCTCAATATCACCGAGGAATTGGGTCAGGTAAAGAAAATTGATTAAGCTTTGCGAGTTAGTCTCCCGATAAAGAAACAGTCCTTTTTTTATTCCGATAGGTGCAGTATATATTCTCCGATAAAACTGGCACGCTCACGGAAAACAAAATGCTGTTTAGGCGGTGTGCCGTGGGTGGACAAGACTATTCGCACGGTGGGGACGATGAGAACCCAGTACCTTCCTCAAGACTGAAAGAGGATCTCCTCATAAGCACGTTTAGACACCACCTGCAAGAATTCCTAATCGTGCTAGCAATATGTAATACCGTTGTGGTCAATTCCCAGCCCCATTACGATTCTATGAATTCAAGCGGAGTCATCCAGGAACCTCAGAAGAACGGTGAACAAACGGGCAGGTCGGTACATACTTATGTTTCCTTCAGTCGTATAATACATTTCACGCTATTTTCTCAGATATACAAGAATGATAGATAGGAGCTTAACTCCGTCACCTATCATACCTTTGTCTACACTGTCACACCCGACCAACAGCCTCGACGAGAACGTGTCGTCGATTTCTTCAATGGTCGAAGCAGAGTCTGTTCTGAACAACTCGACGAAGTTAGCGAGTAAATTGCCAAGGTTACTATTTATTGCACTTTGCGTCATCGATATCGCGTCAATCCTATAGACATATGAGAATAAATTGAGCGTTCTTGAGACTAGGCGATTGACAGAAAATGAATGACGGAGTTTTTTCTTCCGTCGGCATGTGAGAGAGACAGAAACTGGTCCAAAGCATGTTCTCTCTATCTCTTACGGGGTCAACAAAAATATATTGCACGCTCGGTCCATTCTCTTATTTCTATGGTCAATTCAGGAAAGTGAATATTTGTTTGCAGGCCAAAATTCTTAAACGTAGCTTCGATACCAAGTTTAGGAATGGGATTACTGGGAAGAAAACTGTCCCCGAACGGAGCGCATAAGAGACGCAGTCCGTTAACTCCGATCGACGGCATCGATAAGAACGGTGACGAATTGTTACGTTCGACTGCAATTTACGAAGCCGAAAGTCCGGACGAACTTGCTCTTGTGAATGCAGCCCGTGCTTACGATGTGAAGCTTCTTAAGCGAACGACGTGTAACGCGATCGTTTGCCTGCCAGATAAATCTATTCTTACTTTCGAGATTCTTCATGTAAGATTTAATTGGAAAATAAAAAACGAGCAAGTATCTTAGACACTGTTTTTCTATATGTAGTGTACTTTGAATTTCAGATTCTGCCGTTCGATTCTAATCGGAAATGTATGTCTATTTTGGTGCGACATCCTCTCACGAACGAGTTCGTTGTTTATAGCAAGGGTGCTGATACAAAGATATTGTCTTCTCTAACTCCTCAAGATGAGAATTCGATACCGACGATGAAAGTTCGACAGTATATGCAATCGTACGCGCGTCAAGGCCTTCGGACTTTAGTGATGGCGAAGAGATCCCTGACGCCGCAAGAATACGAGAATTGGCGTCAGAAGCATCACGACGCCGAACTCGCAATGGAGAATCGCGAAGCCCGTATTCAAGAATCGTACGCGAATCTTGAATCTCATTTGACCCTCTTAGGTGCCACTGGTATCGAAGATAAACTTCAAGCCGGAGTACCGGAGACTATGGCTACTCTCGTGGCAGCCGGGATCGTAATTTGGGTTTTAACAGGTAAGGACTTTATAAATTAAACTTGCTTTCGTATTTTATAATACATCGCTAACGAGTACGTTAAACCGACAGGAGACAAACCGGAAACGGCAGTCAATATCGCCTACTCAGCGCGTCTTTTTTCGCCTGCGATGCAATTATTATGGTTGCAAGCGAGGTCGAAGACTGTTGCCGAAGCCTTGATTCATGGATATCTAGAATCCGCTCGTAAGGAAAGTACGATTCATGGAATAGATAATATCAGAGAAATCTCGATGTTTAATCGTGATGCGGCAGAGAATGACGCACACAGAATAGACAGCCCGTGGCCAAAGCAACGCGCACTCGTCGTAGACGGTAAAACTTTGACCGTCATTCTCGATCCACGATCAGGATTGACGCGACCGTTTCTCGAGCTGACAAAGACATGTTCCAGCGTGTTAGCTTGTCGAGCTACGCCTCTTCAAAAGGTATAACTAATTTCATGTGGTTCGCTGCTTATTTTTACCGTCTGACAGTTCATTAATTTGAACGAAACATTTACAAGGCATACATAGTACGCATAGTAAAAGAACAATTGGGAATGAGAACCTTGGCGATCGGGGACGGTGCGAACGACGTTAGTATGATACAAACTGCGGATGTGGGAGTCGGTATATCCGGACACGAAGGAACACAAGCCATTATGGCCGCAGATTTTGCGATCTCACGATTCTCGATGCTCAGCAGGCTCCTTCTGCTTCATGGCCAATGGTGTTACGATCGCCTGTCCAGAATGATTTTATATTTTTTTTACGAGAACGCTACCCTTGTGTTTGTTTTATTTTGGTATCAGGTACTTATACACGCCATAATACTGCTTCATCGTTAGCGCTTTATATTTAGAATTTATTGTTTCAACAGCTCTACTGCGGTTTCACGGGGACAGTTATGATGGACCAAATTTACTTAATGTTATATAATTTATTGTTCACGTCAATGCCGCCGCTCGTATTGGGCATATACGATCGCGTGGCCTCGCCTAGTGTTCTTTTATCGATGCCCCATCTTTACAAAAGGGGACGCCTCGGACTCGTGTATCAGCCGCATTCCTTTTGGATAACCATTGCCGATGCTTTGTACCAAAGTATCGTTATCTTTTTTATTAACGAGGGCGTTAGTATATCTTCAAAATCGTTTGGTAACGTAAAATGAAGAGTACATTCGTTCAAGTGAAAGATGGTTCTCCTGTTCAGGTGTACTACGATTCGACTATTGATGTATGGGAATTCGGAACTACCATACTGACCTGTTGCATTGTAATTATGTTGACTCACATCGCCATAGAAATTAGATCCTGGGTAAATTGAATTTTTCTTTGCTTCTGTTCAAGCAATTATATTCTGTTTAACGATGTACACGATGTTACGGTTTTGTTTTCAGACTATAATACATCTTTTCGCTGTAGCTGGATCGTTGGGAGTGTTTTTCGGTTTCGCTTTAATTTACAATGCCGTTTGTGTTAATTGCATGGGTCTCCTTTGTTCCTATTGGGTAATGGAAATGGCCATCGCGAAGTACACGTACTGGCTCACAGTAATACTTACCTGTGTTTTGGCATTATTACCACGGTACGACATTTGGATATCAGCAAATGCAGAAGGAACGTTATAATCGTATTATACATAGCTGTTATTTGTTCAGATTATTCTATAGAACTGTAATGACGACAATAACTCCGGATCTCATGCAAAGTGCCGCGCTTAACGCCCCATCGAAAAGTGGTGGCCATAGGCAACGAATCGCCGAGAGGAGTGAGAATAATTTTATTGCCGGTTGGTCACGTTCAACGCAACACGCTACTATAAGGTACGAGTAGACTTTTGCCTTGTTACTTGCAACTCAAATCATATACGAATTTTTATGTTTCAGAATCGGAGCTGAACACGAGACGTTGACAACTATCGTTGCATGACATATCTCGAGGTATCACAGAAGACTGTCGGCGCGTTGTAATAGAACGATCGATACTGTTAAACGGCGCTGCACCATTAAACTTACCGGGATACAAGGCGACGCCTCCTTTGCCGCATTTCAATCTCTACTGTTCCTAAGATTTGCAAGAGTGCCGTTAGGGAGTGTACCGCGTTCGTTTCAATGTGTATTTTTTTCACCGATAAGTGCTTTAGTAACTGTATTAGCAATTGAGATGATTCTTTGCATTGTCAATCGAGTATTAGTACTTTTTAATTGAATCGTGTGGCCTTAAATTTCAGACTACTGTTTATTGCATTTGATGGCTGTGACTTTTAGGGACCAAGACTGCTAATTCAGTAGTAACATTGAAAAGCGTACGAACGAACCACGTGCATGTGTTCGTGCGCGCGTTTTCTGGTTCTATATCGAATCAGTTAATTATTCAGGTCGCAATTATTCTTTATGGAATAAGCGTAAAAGAGTGTATATTGTAAAAAGAAATACGCGGAACATACATTGTCTCTTACGAAGTGTATTTGTCTCTTCGTATAGCATGCCGCAAGCGTAACGCTTGTATTAATGTAATTTCCGAAATATAATCGTCTGCCAGTATAGAGGTTCTATTAATCGTGTACGTTAGATGTTATTACACGTTGCACGTGTCGATATAGTATTTTGATAAGCGAGAAAGGACAACATGGGTGTATGTAATTCTTATCAGTAAAAGGAAGTGTTCTCTAAAATTCTACTCTATTCACCATCAACCACCGGATCCTTTCCTATGGAGTCATTTTTATTTTTAGCTTCCAATCTGTATACACTTGACTTTGTCATTTCAAATATTTGCCAATGTTGACTATTATATGTAGAGATTTTTCATTGATTTCATGAACCCGAAAGAATCACGATTTCCTCGCTTTCATTGATTACATTTTGCTCGCTTTATCATTCCGTGATCCTCTCATTTTCTTTCACTTTTAGTGAACCGACCGTCATCAATAGTGCATTAATTTGCTAGCAGATAAAGAACGGTTGCATTTGAGCACCACTGGCTGCTGTAGAAGCACGATGCAACGGTGGGGATAGGATCGAAAAGCGTAAGGTGGAGCGACGGGAAGATCTGGCACGCCGTACGCAGCAACGGCTCTCTCAGTATTTCAGTTACACGTACACGATCAGTAGTTTCAATCCTCCGACCGCGAAGAACAGGAGGGTTTCGAGTTGCGCCACGATTCTTCTCGCCGCACTCTTCGATCGCGACTCTGTACCTGTTTCTCTCCTGGAACTCGCGACCAGCTGGCGCGTTTCGTGTTCGGCGAAGGACAGTAATTCGCGTTGCACGAAGCGCGCGCGCAGGATCGAAGGACCAAAGGCGCAAGGAGTTTTTCAAGTTCTCTGCCTCTCCCTTTGTTACGATAGTTTGCCAGTGGAAGATACAGCAACCAAGTCTTTCCAACTGAGGAGGACTGACGGTCGGATGCTTGTATGTACTAAGTTCGACAGGAGAATCAATGAGATGCTGTATTTCAGTTTCACAAGGTTCTTGTACTGTCAGTTGTCAGAGGAGAAAGTACTATAACGAAGTCACATGACTAGGGAAAGGGTCATTGAACATATGTAAAAACGTAGAACTTGAGTTCAGCGGAGAGATATTGTGAACACGTGTACAAAAATCTGTGCATGTTCATTGAAAATTGTTTGACGTTTCCACGCTAAAGACAATCCGTTCTCTGTTGTCTGCTGGATGATGATACATCCGCACGTGTAGACGCAATAGACAAGCCGAGAACGGGAAACATTAATTTTGTTATTGCACGAACACATATATGCTTTCTCCCATGCGTCATTCCAGTTTCTCTCCGAAGAATGATTGTACGTACACGTGCTTGGCACGATTGCAAGGACGGGGGACAGAAACCTTACGACCAGCATGGTGTCGAGTGTGATAATTAGTATCACGCGTTGCTCGGATGAAACGATAGTTTCAGCAAACACCAAACGCGCGTAATAAACTCATTTTGTACGTTTTCCCTCGAACGAATTTCCGATCGATCAGTTTCTGTTTCGAAATATATTTACACAAACGTGTCGTTCGACTAGTAGAACTCCGAGGCTCAGGTGAATCGATGAACATTAATAAGTACACACAGCGAAATGATTCGTAGACATTATTTATCAGCGTTAGATATCTGCAATATTATCTCGAGTACGGCTAGGGTAAACGTCAGTATTTTTATTAGAAGCCTGCGATAATCAGATAAAATTATATGCTAACAGAACCGAAGCTTAAACTACTGAGTGGTAAATTAAGCGAACTAGAAGAAGGAATAAGTGAGAATTTGCTGACTGTGTTCATACAAGTTTGAGGACACGAATGTAAAGCAGGACGCCGGCACGGCACGATAACGGGTTGTCTATAATGCGATAACGATCCGCGCACAAGGTTACGATTCAGAGTTTGCCATCACGGTTGCTGCAACGCTAGTAGAAAAACGCGACCTGCATATAGCCCCCGAAATATAGAACGTAAATGAGTCATTGCACTGAAAACGGAAATGAGGAACAAAGGTTTCGCTCGTTTAGCGCAGACCGTCAGCGGAGCTCGTGTTTAGGCAATAGTATCGCACAGTATCGCACAGTATGTTGATCGAGAGGTGAACCTTTCTTAGAAGAAACTGACATTTACTTAGGCTTGTTAATCGAATTGTGATCCCGCGTGAGTCGTATCTCAAACAGACGAAATCTTGAACGAAGTGAGTGTTTTTTTTTTTAACTTTTCATCAGTCGTAAGTTCTACACGTATGTGTATTTATACGAGGAGATAAGAAAGGAATGGTATCGGAAATTGGCGTTATAAAATGCCGATCATGCATTTTACGAGCGCGAGTGAATTATCAGCAATAATTGTTGGTCGTCGCTGTCTGTGATACTACGAAAAGTGTAGATACACCTGTGGAATTCCCCGAAACGAATAGAAATCGTGAGTGTTTTAGTGTCAAGAAAGAGAGGGAACAGACTTGAGTACGCTAGTACTTTTCGCGGAGAACACGCGCTTCGGCAAGAGGAACCGTTGAAGTGTTTCTCACTTATTGATACTTAACACGTTACGAGGCGGAACTGTTAAAAACTTCGTAACAATAGAAGTTTTAAACAAGCATGACAGCATCTAATGTAACGCGTTATCACCGGAAGATAATATATAAAAGAATTCTAATCTCTCCACGAAAGTAAATAACGTTTTTATCGAAGAAAGAGAAAGACACGGACGAAGTGTACACGCTGAAAGCTGGCATTGATCGTTAAGTTCGATGCCGTGTAGATGATCAAAATATTTTGATATGCATTGTTCAAGACAGTGAATTCTGAAAAGCGAGCGGGAAACGAGCAGTTTCATTGAGTAAGCGCGGTTTTTATTGCGAAACGATTGCCACGAATTACGTAATTGAGAGACAGAGAAGAGACGTGTAAAAGCGCATTGAGGATGACCTTCGCAGCCTTCTTGTCTGTTCGTCCATCACTAAGAGAGAATAGCCCGGAGATAAGGACGATTTAATTAATACCCACCGGCAGTGATCGTTCCGACGGTGTTCGACCAACAATAATCCGGGAGAAGAAGATGCGGCACGCGGTGTCGGGACAGATAACTCTCGGCGAGGATTCGACGGGAAAAGCGTCGACGTGATCTTGTAGAAAAGGCGGTCGGAATTTGTTATGCCGTTTCTCTCTGCGCAACCGCAGGTGTATCGCGAGAGATATGACGGTCACTTACACTGCCGAAGTCGCTACCTGCAGAGGTCTCGGTTGCTTTCTAAAATTACTCCTAAGGTAAGCTCAATTCGCACGCGCTGGTCAAACGGCAAAACGCGATGCTCGCGTTTTTATTTTGCACATATCTAGATACATAGTTCGACGCGAGGTTGAATATTATACTTTGTTATTCGACTATACAGAAATTAACAGATAGAGAATATTCTCTGCCGCTAACTTTAAAGTCAATGTATGTGGAAATCATAATTTACGTCCAAATACTTGAACGCTGTCGTCAGACCGTCGTCGCGTCTACTTAATACTCCCGTTGGGTGTGCACTACAAAGTAAATAGTAATCGATTTCTAGAAACTAGCGCTCTGTTTAATCTATCGCAATCCGTTCTAATATGTGTCGATTCAGAATGGTGTGCAATTATTGGATACCACATTGAACATTTATTAAAAGTCACAGTTCCGTGAATGCGGAAGAATTCTGATTAAAATCACGTGTCGGGCGCGCACGCGAAGGATGTCAAGGGGAAATCCAGGCACTTCGTGCTCGATCAAAACCGACGAGACTCACCAATCTTCTCCGTTTTCGTCACTCGCGTTAATATTATGATTCATTGATTTTACTGCCCTAGTAACCCGCGATCTACTTATCACGCATAAGTCGTATTTGTGTTTCCAATCAAGAAAATCAAATTATACACGAATCTTGTACACGAGTATTTCCTTCTCGTTTCAATGCACTCCTCGATGCTGTTGTACGCACTTCGTAGTCGTTGACCCCTTTCTATTATTAGTTTAATTATGTTTTATTCGCGCCCGGAAGCAATAAACTCGCAATGCTTCGAATTCGTCACGTGCAATCGACGTTCTAAGTTCTTTGAAGTAACTGTTAGCCATCGGCAGTACTTTCTTTTACTTCCGGTCGACTCTATTAAGTCGTTCGGCCTTCAATGCAGAAGTACATGCTTAGCCGTTTTTGTTTTCATCGTAATTGAATATTCATATTGCACTCCACTCTTTACCGGAACGTTAATCACGATAAAAAAGCCTTTTTAACGTTCCAAGCTACCTTTACCAGTGTGTCTGTCCGTTGGACGCAACACTGTCGTTCATTTCGCGTTTAAGAATATTTCGTGATTATGTGTCATGCACAAAAATACAGTATAATGTGCATACATGCACGTATAATCATAGATCGTATTTTAACGTCAGCAGCGAGCAAATCCTGGCCGTAGCTCACTTTTATGGATCGATCCATACGTATTCCTTCTCTTCAGTCATTCTCAGATGTTACATATTCCGATTGCGTCGTACTAATATAATGGCATGTGGAGACAATGAGGAATTGTGCTAGAGTTTGTCACGCGGATACTAATCGTCAAATTCAAGGACGAGGCAATTACAAAATACTTTCGAGTCGCGAAACTCGGTGAATGTAAGAAAAAACGATCTTGTGACTTGACGATTGGAATGTTTCCAACTTGCAACGCATTTCCGTGATTCGGCAGACAGACGTATCGGTGTTATAGCCGAACCGCGAGATTATCATGAAATTTTCTTGGATTTAATCGACTCTTAAGATATTGGACGATATCGATCTGACAATTAGCTGCAGTAAATACTTTCGGTGTTACGTCTATTTTTGTCCGAACAAAAACTCCACGTTATCTAATTTATTTTGAGAAGCTGTTACTTAAGTGTGTCTCATTCCATATTTTTTCCTTACATTTTACTGGACGTTTCTCAGATGGCGAGCAAGTATATACAAGCTCGTCTGGCTGGATCTAGCCCTCTTCCTCTCAATTTACTACTCGCTTTCGGGTATGTACCGATTCCTACTGGACGACGATCAGAAGAAGACATTCGAGGCTGTGGTAGCCTATTGCAACGAGTACAACGATCTGATACCGTTGTCTTTCGTTTTGGGTTTTTACGTCAGTATCGTCATGACTCGATGGTGGAATCAATACATGGTAATACCCTGGCCAGATTCAATCGCGGTCTTCGTGTCCGCCACCATTCATGGCAACGACGAGAGAGGTCGATTAATGCGCCGAACCATCGTCAGGTATATGCAAACAGCGTACAAAGATATATGAAACTTGATTTCTAAGAAGAATTTCTTTTCGTTCTCCAGGTACGTCTGCGTTTGCTTAACGTTGGTACTGGCGATGGTCTCGCCGCGGGTTAAGAAACGATTCCCGACATTGGAGCATTTCGTGGAGGCCGGTCTACTGTTAGAAAACGAGCTGGTGATATTCGAGAGTCTGAACTCGAAGTTCCCCAAACCTAGCAAACATTGGTTGCCGATAGTATGGGCGTCGAGCATCGTGACGCGAGCGAGGAAAGAAGGTCGCATACGCGACGACTTTGCCGTGAAGACGTTGATAGACGAGTTAAACAAGTTCCGCGGTCTCTGCGGTAACCTGATGCACTACGATACCATTAGCGTTCCTTTAGTTTACACTCAGGTAAGCACGTCAGACGCACGGAGTCATAGCGTACAAGGACTCAACCACACCTACTCGTATGGTCAATCGCAATTTCTCTGTTTTTCCGTGCTCTTACTGTAGGTGGTGACGTTGGCTGTGTACACATACTTTTTAACGACCGTAATGGGTCGGCAGTGGGTGCAAAATTCGCCGAAGTCTACAGCGACGACGATCGATGTTTACTTCCCAGTATTCACGACATTGCAGTTCTTTTTTTACATGGGTTGGTTGAAAGTAGCCGAGACTTTGATCAATCCGTTCGGCGAGGATGACGATGACTTCGAGGTCAATTGGATAATTGATAGAAATTTACAGGTAGCGTATTTCTCGATAAAACCGTCTCAGCGAATTTTCTCCACGGGTCTTTAATTTTCTGTATACTTTTCAATAGGTAAGCTATCTAATTGTCGACGAGATGCACCACGAGCATCCGGAATTGATCCGCGATCAATATTGGGACGATGTATTTCCCGCTGAACTCCCATATACAGCCGCGTCGCAGGCTTTCCGCGAAGAACATCCGCAACCGTCCACGGCTGGAATTCAGTTATCCGCGGCGCAACAAGAACTTCAACCATCCTCGGTCAGAATCGATGAAATGGCGGGAGATTATCAGCAAAAGTTTAATAGTGACGTAGCGGACGATGCCATTTCCGGTATACACTTCACGGCTCATGGCAAAATGTCAAGGTTGGTTCCGGAGCAATACTATGCGATACGACCTCTTTTTTCTCTTATCAAATGTATAGAAGTCTGCCGAGCGTGATAAACGTAATAACACTTATCTTTTAATATCTATTACAGAAGTGCTAGTAGAGTGAGTGCACGGGATCGTACTCTGAGCGGAGGTTCAACGCCAAGTAACATAGGAGGCTCCCTAACGAGAATTAACAGCGTGACCAGTGTTCTGAAACGATTGTTCAGTAAAGAGGACAGGCCTGACAGCGGTCCATCGAGTGGTACTAAGACGCCTAGAAGACTCGCTTCGTCGAGTTCTGTGGCGTCATTACAGAATCGTGCAATCGGTATGTTTAAAAGCTTGCTTACAACTTATCGAAACGATTAATCGTATGATCGCGTTTAACGTGCGTAAAAACTTCTAGTAGATGGAGGAGGATCGATGAGGATCGGAGTAATCAAGGAGGAGGCGGATGAACAGATGACACTGACGTCGATGAAGTCGGAAAAGAGACCTCACGTGCAGAGCATATTTTCTCAAGGACCGCCACCTCCGAGTGCTCCTGTTGCCGTTCCTAGCATGGAAAAGACGCGAAACGGACATATATTTTCGACCAGCGCTCCTATTCCTATAACTACTGGTGTGTCGGTCGGCAGCAACGGCAATGGCATCCGCGATGGCAGATACATGTCAAGGTATGCATGAACGAGCATCCCTATTTGATAAAAGATCGTTTGATCCGTAAACCAATTGGACTTTCTCTTTGTGAGGAGAAATGAAATGATTTTTTGCCTTGCGGATTGCAGCTCACAACAAACTGCAGAGTCAGCGCGATCGAGTATAGCTTACGAACCAGCAACGAGCGTTGGTAGTGCTATCGTGGATGATCTTATTAGTACAGACAGTTCGTCGAGTGCCAGCATTACGTCTGTTGACGAATATTCACAATTGAGGACGGAAAGGCAAAAGCACAAGCAGGATAGAACGGCACAGAGGATGGCTATGAGTACGAGTGGGAGTAAAATGTTCAGCTCACATTCGAGGAGTCCTGGGGATAGTAACGAGCAGTTCTTATTATCGGAGCTAGCAAATACCTCACGCTTGTCCATGAATCCTCAAGAGGAAGGAGGAACTAATGACAAGACTGTTGAGACTAATCGTCTTTAGCAAAACCCTCAATGGTTCTATTTCGAAGTTTAACGTTTAACCGTGTAAACGGTATTTGGAAAAAATATATAGTTTCATATGATATTTAAAAAAGGTGATCAATAATTGATCGACTTAAAGCTTTGGCGCATTCATATAAGTGTCAAAATCGATTCAGTCTGATGAAGATCTATCTGTCTGTTATCACAGTATATACAAAGCTTTTTTTCTATAGAATGGAAGCAAGTATTAAATATTGCGTGATAGAAGGTGCATTGATATTCTTCTGGTTTTATAAGAAAATGTGCTGAACGAAAAGACTTTAAAATTATCCTTTACACTTTACGCGCAGTGTACTAATTTCTAACAAGATTTATGATGATCGACGAATAGTTCGTCTTCTGACGAAATTCTATTAAAAATCGTTTTGAACATCAACGATTACTGGCACAAAAAAAAACAATTGAAAGTACTACTGTGTATGAACAATGGGTTTGCTATGTACACCGGTATACCTATCAGTTCAAATTCTACGTATCGAGAAATGACAATAATAAATGAAACATTGTCATCGAATTCGTCTTAGAGTAATTAAGATTTTATACTTATAGAAAACAATAGCTAGAATAATTAAAATCGTTCGCGATTGAAGATAATTATAAAAACAGGGCTGTCTGTATGACTCTCGTCTTTTACGATACATTATTATTGATGTAAAAGATGATTGCTAGCGCAGGATAATATATGTATGTATAAATTTACATTAGTGTTACTTCTTTTTATTTAATTTCATCGTTTAAAATTATGGAAACTGACTAAACGCTCAAAGGGTTTCCGGTTAAATCAAAAGGCGTCCAAAATAAACGAGGGACCTTTATGACTTCTGCAGATTTCAACGTCTGCAGAAACATTGAAAGTGCCTATCTTGTGCCTATACAATCGAAGTACGTTTCACACTTATTTTATCGTTAAATAGATTCTAAGTTTATAGTTGTTTGAGCAGTACGTGATCGATATCACGGTCGAAACTTAGCGCTTTTGTACAGCAATGCGTTCGAGTAAGCACATTCCGCAATACACATTTAGGTCGATGACAAAGTCGCTAAAACGATCGCACATTCACAAGATTATTTGATACTAATTAATTTGATAATTTTCTTACATTTGTAACTTGGCCCACAATACTTTCAAGTAATACATTGAGTTTAACTACGAATAGTACGGCTAGTAAATTTTAAAGGAAAAGCGGAAAGTATTCCTCCTAAGGTTTCTGAATATCTTGTACTTATATATTATGTAAATATCCATGTACAGAAGCTTGTAATTAGAATTTAATACATTGCGTAATTGACTCTCGTAACTGCCTCTGTACAATTCACGCTAAATAATTAGTTTATCATTTTGGAATCACATTCCACAACTCGTGTAAACCCGATGGTGCTCATATTTATAAGCGTCATACACGATAGCGTTACAGTATTGAAATACCTTTTCGGATTGTTAGATAGAAATGTTGATTTTTTCTCGAATAAATAAAACTTACCTCTAAATTCGATGCACAAAATTCTGTTCCCAATTGTCACCAGATCCACAAATCACCCATATGTAAATCACTGAAGTTTTCCCGGGAAATATTAATCCTGGAAGTAATTTTCGTGTCGCTAGTATCGTGGAAATTGCAGTTCGTGTAAGATCGCGTAATTCCGTCGAACTTCGGGCACAGTCGTTCTGGTTCGCGAGCAGGCGTCGACGGCTTGGGTAGTGGGGGTCGTCAGTGGGTTGCCGTCGGCGAGAGGTGGCGGTGGTTTTGTACGGTAGAGGAAAGAAGGGTTAAGTGAGCCGTGCCGGGCCGTACAAGCGAGCTAGCGGTGGCGCGGCCCGTGCTCGTGCCATAGGGCCTCTGCCAACCAGTAGTGCTCGTCGATTCGTTTACAAGATGGCAGACGGTCCGTCCGCGGAAGACGCGGCCGCCGACTTGAGGGACAGTGATTTTCGTTTGACGAGGGAACGGCACAAACGTCAGGACGCCTCGTCTTCTATGACGTCCTTCATTGTGGGTCAGAATATCGCGAGACGCATCCGCCAAGACGCTTCGGTGTTCGAGAATCATCCTTATCATAGGCAACAACATCGGTCTCTGCGTCATAATTCTCATCTTTTACGCCGATACCCTGGTAATGCAAACGTTAACGGTGTCAACAACAACAATGGTGGTGGCGTCATCATGATCAACAATAACCATCACCTTCCAAATCATCATCAGTTCGTGAGCAAAAACGAGAGTGATTGCGTTGACATGATTTGTGTTACTCCGTTCACATCACCGATCAACGAGGATTACGAGGAAGAAGACGACGAAGACGACGACGACGACGTCGACGAGGATGACGACGATGACGACGACGACGACGACGACGACAACGACTACGATGATGAGTTAGATGAAGAAGATGACGAGATAGGAACGAACAGGAAGAAGAGTGCATCGAAAGAATATCGTGGCGGTGTTCGGATCGATGTAACAAAGACGGTGAAAAATGGAACGAGTGGCGGCGATAATAGTAATGGTAATGGTAACGGTAGCAGTAATAATAATTATAATAATACTAATAATAACAATAATGGTAAGAGTGGTGGTGAGGGTGGTGCGATGACCGGTCACGCGACCGCGATGGTGACGGCAACGGCGACGCGCGATGACAATGCTGCTAACTGTTTGGTCGGCGATGGGCGACGGTTGTGGACCACCGTTTTCCTCGACGCGGATGCTCCGAGAGTAGACGGCGCGGGTGCAAGCGAAATGAACGAGTGCCGTCGCGCGGAGGACAGGAACAGGGACGAGCACGCGTTAGAAAAAGTGAATCGCCTCGGTTGCGATAAGAGGAGCGAGGCCGGCGGCGACGGAGCCGAGGACGCGACACAAAACACGACGGACCGCATAGTTAGTGATGGCAGTAGTGATCGTGGTAGTAGTAGTGGTGATGGTGTTGCTGATGCCGCTGCTGCTGTTCCTACTTCTGGCGGTGGTGATGCTGGTGCCGCTGGTGCTACTGCAAATGGCCTCCTCGCCAACAGGCATCAGGGCAGCCCTTTTAAGGGACAAGTTAGGATGGCCGAGGACACCCTCGTCGGCCCTTGCGGCAAGAAGCGGTGCGCCGATCGATACGACAGCTCCGAGAGTTCTGACAGGTGAGCGAGTGAGACAGCTTCTTCTCTCTTTTCTCTTTCTCTTGTGGTTCGATGAACGCCTCGAGGAAGGGAGCAATAGGCGGAACGAACCAGAGACTTATCCGTATATATCTCTCTTTCGAGCTTGCAACTGACCAAAATAAGCAGTCACGTAATTGCGATCTCTTGAATTTTTCAGTACAATAGCGCGTAAGTATCATGTTCGTATGGATATCGTATCTTTCTTCTTTCTCATAAGTTTATTTGAGTTCTATATACATTCAGGTCATTGTATTTTGGCCGCACTTACACATTGGTATTCACTTACGGCGATCGGTACTTGTCCGTGTTTATTTTAGGTGAAAGACAATGAGTTAGGTGTACTCATACTTGTGCAACAGTGACTTTGACGATTTAACTGGTCACGTACACGTATATACGCGTGGTATTTACGTCTTTTCTTACGTACGTATCTATACAAGAGACGAACTTGAAACAGAAACGCGAGAGCGTGTATTGTACATAATACCATCAAATATGCAACTAAAATCTGACATTATCAGCCGGAGAACCTTGACGTTGAAGAAACATGTCGCGTATCAGGGATCGGTGGGGATATCGCAATTAGTGAGAAGGCGCGTTCGACAGGAGGCCAGGGGTCGTTGTACCGCGGTTACGAGACCGACAACCGTGGCTGCGTTCGATCTGTGTGCGCGGCGTGTTTATACGTTCGTAGATCCTGCCAACTCGTTCCCTCTTTCGCTCTTTCTCTTTTCCTCGGTTCCCTCTTCCTCACGAAGCTTCGTTCTTCCTCCATTACGTCCCTCTATGCTTGGTTCTCTTCCTACGTGAGCTTATCACGCTAGAGACGACGCGGTATTTCGGTCCCTGTTCAGTTGCTAACCGCCGAAAACTTGTATTCCATTCTGTTTCCAAGTGTTTCTCAGGAACCTGAAGAACTGTCTACAACGTTCACTTTCTTTCTGTCTTTCCTTGAAACGTATTATAAATACATATTCATTTTGTTCTATACACAAGTGAATTTACATAATCCCGTCCTAGATCTATCAAAATATAAGGATAAATATGTTTACCTTTTTCTTTTTCTTAATATTTGGATAGGACAAAATTACGAAGTATATGTATATTTGAAGTAGTTAATTTACACAGTATTTTACAATGTTCAGAAGTACGTATCTCAAATTGAAATTATAATATCTTCCTCTACGCATATAATTAACGATACCTAAAATACTATAAGTACTATTCCAAACTTGCGATAATCTTGTAGCATTTATAAATTGGCTTTGTATCACAGGAAAAATACTTAAAAACCTGTCTTTAACAGCTCATTTTTACACGTTTACCAGTTTTCCTCGCCACGATTAGCAATCGTGCATTTGATTTCGAAGGTAAAGGAAACGTAATAAAATTTTACTATCCTAACGGTTCTTTCTTACGATACTGAACTCGATTCGTACAGACAAAACGTAAGTAGATAGAACCATTCCAATCAGCCAAGCTATTATCCTATCGTGCCTTGCCTGTCAAGTATACAATTTTTTTTATCATTTACAACTTTTCCGAAGTAAGGAAAATGTTATCTGCATATTTTCGTCTCTGACGATGAATTCGTGTTTGCTTTCTCTCGTTCGTCTCCCCGGTTATTTTCTACATAGGAGATGTGCATCCAAGGAAAGAGATGAACAAAGCTCTCACTGAGTAATATTGATCTTGTTCCAAAATGTGGAACGTTAAGTTTCAGATTGGCAGAGAAGCGACTATGAACGTTCTGTTAGATGATAATATTTTAAGTTACGGTTTATCGGAGAGGACAGCACGTTTATTTTTTATTCACTCGTATTTTCCGCGTCCATTTCTCAGGCCGTACTGTTTTAGCAACTCGTCGCGTTTATCTCACCTACACCTATGTATTCGCGAGTGTTAAATCGCGATCACAGTCCACTACTCCTGCCTCGTTAAATTACACTTGGAATCCTCGTGCAACAATGTTTTTTTCGTTTGGGTTAATCGTTCGCCTAGAGATAGTCGCGTTTGACTTCGATAACGATTATCTGGTTACTGACGAGTATATCTCGTAGAACTTTTTTCGTCGAACGTACGTATAGTTGCAAGTAGCGTTCGCTTTTGGGAATCGTACCGTTTGAATAATGTAATGGGAAATATTCTCCTGCCATTATTATACTTCTCTTGGAATCACTCTATTCATCTTGTTGATCAGCCGATAGGAATATTTATCGAAATCGTCTGGAGTAAGTACTGCTGGTCGTGGAAAATAATTGACGCTCGATTCAAACCAGATCGTTAGCTCTCGCTGTAAAATAAATTTTCAACACGGTATCGGTAGATTTGCGGTATCAGTCACCGTGGAAACTAGTATATGAATTCACGTTTAACGTGGTTTTATCGAATTTCCATCAATAGAACTGCTATGAATCGTTTATACGCCCAGACACTTTTTTTCAAACGTTTATCGAATATTTGAAACAGATTTGATTCTGAAAAATGATTTAAAATTACATTTACTCAATTTGTTTTGGTCATTGTTAGATGCTCGTTTATTAATAGGTTTGAATATTAGCTGCATGCACTGAATAGAAATTGTGTTTTAATAGATTTTAAATTGCAATCAAGCTTGTAGTGTCGACGATTCGTGTGATCCTTCCACGTAAGCCTCTTGGTATGTAATATTTTCATGGCTGTGAGGAGAAGCAGCTCCTGCTGCGGCCGGGTCGACCGGTCGTGGCTATTTTTCGTGTTGTAATCGGTGAACGACCGGGTGTCCTTCCAATCGTCTTATCGCGGCTCGAATGCATCCAAATAATCGGCCCGAATTCAGCTCGTCGCTCGTTAATCTTTGCTTGGAGATAACCAGACGGCTACGCCACGCTAATCACCGACCCCGCGTGTCTTCGTTACCATTTCTGGAGCCTCGTGCTGCCTCGGCTCACAAAATGAAACGGTCAATCTAATTACAACGACTGATTAGAATTTCATCCGCGTGACAAAACAAGTTGAGTCATCCGATAGATCTGTCTGTAGACTTTTTCTGTATACGTGGCGAGCATTAGCAGATTTTATCTGTGGTTATAGTCTTTACGTGCGTGGAGGTTCGATGCCTGTGTGCGTCCGTGATAGACGTGTGAATGAAAATAGTCATAGGAGAAGGAATAGTAATCGATCGCATCGTGATAATAAACGATAGATAGCTATTATTAGAACGAAACAGCTGTTGATCGTTGTATGCATGCGTGTAACCACACGAGCGCGATTCGGAAAGGTCGCTTTGTTTTCCACGTGACGCAGTCGATTCTCTCTGGCGCGTTCAATTGGGTCGCGGTTTTCCACCGCGAGCCATGGTTTCTCTCGTCGGGTTTATTTTTTCTCGGCGGGCCGAGAGTCCGGTTCGGGGTTCTCGAGACGAAACACGAAACGTAGCGAAGCGGGGGCGATCTCGTCGCGACGCGAATCGCGTGGCCATGGCCGTGGCCGTGAAAGTGAAATTCGTGAATGAAACGAGTGGAACAACCGGCGAACCGAAGTGAAGGTAAAGGTTGCCGGTTTCAGTTTCGGCAAGCCGGTGTCTTTCCAGACTGGCTCTCCAGTTTCTTCGTTTGGCTCGCAAGAATTATTACGGATCGACTCCGAATAAATTTGCTCATTAAAACTGTTAGTCTCTAAATTACATGTCCCACGAGTCAGCAAGTTCCGATTTTTTTTTTTAACATCTGGTTGGGCTGCAATCTGCTGAATTAAGAATAACTTGAAAACGTCAGTTTCTATGAATTGTCTTTTTTTAAAAAAAGTTAGCTCTGACGGTTTCGAAGAAATTTTAATTCTGCGTGTATGCAAATGAGTCGAGATGCAAATCGCAACGTGACGTGACTCTTAATTAAGTCTAATGCGACGATGATTCGAGTATATACCTGTGCAAGATAAAATTAAAATTCCGCAGGTAAAACGTATCACTGCAAAGTTTCTTCAGCTTATCGGCGGTGGCACGTGGGCGGTTGGGAGTAGGAAAAGTCGGTTTATTGTGCGAGACGTGGAACGAGAGGTGGTCGCGGAGGCGGGCGAGAGGAACGTTTCCCATGAGCGGTGCTACAAAAACGCTGTTCGCATTTAGTCGATGCGATGTCGTAAGCGTGGTTAGAAAGCTTGAGCTCGGCCGCGAGTTCGCCTTGCGCGCCGGCACGATCGTGACTCGTCCAGGTTTTCTTTGGAAAAATTCTCGAGTACGTAGGCGGAAAGTTGAGAAACAACGGGTCGAAAGTCGTCGATCATCGAATCTCTTTGTGATCGGATCGTGGCTTTGACAAATTTTCACCGATTTGTAAGATGCATACTATGTGTACTTACTGCTCGATTTTACCTCACCGAATTCGCTGGTCAGGACGCTTTATCGCGGAGTAATTTTTCACCGGCGACGCTTCTGGCTTTTCCTATTACTGGACGATTTTATCGTGCGGAGTATCGATCTACGTCGAGCTTGCCAGCAGACGACGTTACATCGAGTTCGCTACGTAAATGCCTTGGCTTCATGATTTCGCGGGTAATTCGTCAAAGTTTTGACTGGATCGCGTATCTGATAGACCTTTGGCCCGATTGTGCCGAGACCAGTAAATCTCGCGGGATTGGCGAGAGAATCCGAGGGACGTTCTCCGAGTTCTCTTCAACTGGGCTTCTAGGACGGTTGCTATCTTGCGTTCGCATTCAGAAAGCAATTTATCATTTGAGAATGAAAAGATTTTCCATCGAACCGACCTGATTCCGATCGCGATTAACCGTCGAACGCAGGGAAAGGCAAGGGAACAATCGGTTTATTCGTAGAAACCAGCGATTACGATGAGTAACATCCTTATACATATTACTAGGACATGCTTGCGATTCGCGTAATTCCATGGCCTCACGCCTTAGACGTTGTATGCAATCCAAGTATTTCACCATTGTTTAACACGACCGTGGTTGCACTGTTAGTCATCGAGGGGAAAGAGCAGGCG